GTAGTTCCACACTTTCCCAGCAGGTGGCAGATTTCTTCTCTGTCTTTCATTTTCTTTCTTCCGTAAGTCAGTGCTAGAGTTCATCATGTGTCAAAACTGTAGGGGGAAATTTTTTATTTAGTTCTTGAAATCTTTAATATCATATTAGCTTAAACTTCACTGAGGCATGAGATACAGAAAAGGATGGGTGCTGACCAAAGATCCTTTAGTACCTATTTGCTTTATGTTACACGAGGATAGGTCTTTGTATGTTACGGTCTCTATGATATTGTACCATAACTACTTACCTTTTTACCCAGCTAGAAGTAAGCTCTCAGCATCTATGAGGACGAGGACCATACCTATTCATCTTTGTTATATATATATAGGGCCTAGCACCTGTGTGGCAATGGAGGCCTTGGAAAATATTAACAAATTACTCACCACGCACAAAGAATACTATCATTAATGTAGTGGAACAACTAAAAGCAGAAGACATATAGTGATCTTACAGGATGTGATGAGAGAAATTCAAACATAAGTACCTCAAATGTAAGAATCAATACGAGTGAAGACCCTTAGTTTCTTCTCCCACATCACTGAGTGGTCACACACTGATTTGAGAACAATGAGAATTCAAATATTTTGAGGCAGAAATTAATAAAAACATGATTTAAATGCATTCTGTTTCACAGTTCAAGATGGAAGACTATGTTTCTCTGTTCAGTAAATTCTACTTGGAAGGTTATAAAGAAATAAAACAGGGAATACCAGTAGTGAGAATGGGGGGAGTGGATCTGACACAGCCCTGGAATAGAGTTATCAGTGAATTTCTAAGACTGGAACATCATCCGAGATGATGAGTTATTTTCACGCCAGCAGCCTGGGAGAGCCTCTGAGCAGGAACCGTGGGGAGTGAGTCTGACCAGGACGCAGTTAACCGCAGGGCCGTCTGGAAAATCTGTGCCGGTCAGCTCCCCACTCTCATTCTTCCTTCTGTACTCTGGAGAGAATCTGACAGCCTGTTGATTCCAAGATAAAAAGTAGAAGCCTGTTCTTGGAAAAAATAAAACCAAACCAGAGATAGTGAGAGCGAGAGTTTGATTGATAGGCCGGCGTTTCTATGGGTGTCGATGCTCTCGCGAGAAGCACCCTCGCTGGGCCTTTGGCCCGGCGGTGCGTGGGGCGGGCCGCGAGCCGCTCTGCGCTCACACACCGGGAGGCCTGCCGAACGCACGCCACGCTCATGCACCCCGAGCCACCCAGTAACCCGTTCTTGCCCACTCTGGGAAGACGCCTATCAGAGAACATCTTTACACCATGGCAGAGGAAACATGCCAGCTATCTCTACTGATCTTCTAATGTTCTTCTGCAGTCACCCATCTCCTGGCATCTGAGTAAGACCAGCAGCAAAAGGAAAAGGAACCAAGAGGGGCACAGAAGCAGTCACCCAACGAGAACACAGCCGACCAAGGGAACCAAAGAGATACTTAGAATAGCTGTGATTAATATTTTCCAGAGAAATCTAGAAAGTCAGTGAAGATAAAACAACAAACAAGTTCAAAGGAAGCAAGCAGGGAAAGATCTGTTGAAAATTAGTATCTGATTTCCTGTCTTTTAAAAAAAAATTCAGTAGACAATAAAAAAATTTCCAACAACACAGAGGGAAGCTTAGGGAGTAAAACAGGAAAATATAACCACAGGAACACAAACATTACACCCCAACAAATCGGACAACCTAAAAGAATGGGCAAATTCCTAGAAACATACAGCCTCTCAAGACTGAATCTGGACGAAACAGAAAACCCGAATAGACTCCTTATTAGTAAGGAGATTGAATCAGCCTTTCCAACAAAGTCCAGCACTATCTAGATGGCTTCACGGGTGAATTCTATCAAACATTTAAGAATTAATACCAACCCTTCTCGAACTTTTCCAAAAAATAGAGGAGGAGGGAATACTTCAAAACTAATTTACAAGCATTGCCCTAATATCCAAACCAGACAAGGATGCCACAAGGAAAGAAAATAAAGGCCAATATCCCTGAAGAGATCCCATTTATAATAATAACAAAAAGATAACATAACCTAGGAATAAGTTTTAAAAGATACATGTATAAAACCTATACGATTAAAATGTTATGACTGGATTTGAACATAAACAGGAAGATGACATGTTCTTAGGAAACAGTTTCCATGAAGCTGTGAATACCCCCTAAGCTTGACTAGTAAGTGTAATGTAATCCTCCTCCTGCTTCTGCCTGTCGCCCTGCAAACAAACAAAACAGAAATTTCTGTAACTAGCTGAGTCTAAGGCTTATATGGAAAAACAAACAAGAACATCCAGAAAACAACAAGAGAGCAATGAGGGGAGGCGAGACCTACTTGACTGGAAAACACTGTAAACCTTCAGTAACTGAAGTAGTTTGTGATAGGTGCCCGTGTAGACAGGTATCAAAGGAGCAGGATAAAAGTGCCAAACAAGACAAAGAGCACAGGAGTTCAGTATATGATAAAGGCACCACACGAATCAGTGGAAATAAAGATTGCTCATTTTTTTCCAGTGTTGGGCAACAATCCTCTAGAAAAAACGAGTAAAGGATAAAAACAAACAGTTGAAAAACAGAACAAATACAAATGGCCTTTAAACATATGATGGGATTCTCAACTCTATTCATGCTGTATGTTCAATTGTGTCCCTCACAAGTGCACACATTGGAATCCTAACCTCCAGTACTTCAGAATGTGACCTTATTTGGAAAAAGAGTTTTTACAGAGGTGATCAAGTTCAAATGCGGTCATTAGGGTAGATGCTAATCCAACACGGCTGATGTCCTTACAGGACGATGAAATCTGGACACAGACATGTAGAGAGGGAAGACAATGTGGTTGGCATAGGAAGAGGACAGCCATTTATAAGTCAGGAAAAGCATGGACGAGGTCCTTCCCTCCCCATCCCCAGAAGGAACCAACCCTAATGACACTTCGATCTTGGATTTCCAGCTTCCTGAACTGTGAAACAATACATTTCTTTTGTTTAAACCTCTTCTTCAGTAGTACTGTGTTAGAGCAACCCCAGTAAACTGACACAACTTATAATAAGATAAACCCAAGAGTTATAAAAGAAGAATGGCATAGCCTTAGAAGTGGTTCCCTATTTGGGTTTGAGTAAGAAAGGACTTCCAATTTTACTCTATGAACTTCCAGATTGTTTCATGTTTGTAATGAACATACATCACATTTGAAATTAAAAAATTAAGTAAAAAAAATCTCTTCTGTAAAACTTCTTATTTATACCCATAACCATACAGAAACACATACCCACAGAAATGCAATTTTTCTTTAATTAAGATGGGGTCAATCACATTATATTATTCTATGCCTTGTTTATTAACTTAAAAATATGCTGCCAGTACAAACACATTACCTCCAGTCTCCTGAAATGCTACGCTATGTATTTCCTTGTTTGTATCAATGTTTATGTAATAAATCCTCTATTGATGGAGAGTTTCAATTTCATTATTAAAAATAATGCTGTAACAAACATATGTATAATACATCATTTTACTTGTTTAAATGAAAATTTCTTGAAGTGAATTGCAAGGTCAAATGGTCTATATATTTTAAGTCTTTATACATTTTGTTAAAGTATCTTAATTTACACACCTACTATATGCACTGTGTATCTGAGAGTGCTCACTTATTAGCGAGGGCTAACACTGGTTCTTATTAATCCTTTAACTCTTTCCAGTGTGATAAGATAAATATTGCACCTCAACATTTTGTACATTTAAAAATTTTTGTGAGATAAGTATGTAAATGTTTTCCCTCTTTTGCTTTCTTTCCTTCTCTGCCTCCTTCCTGTCTTATCTTTCCCTCCCTTCAGAACAGTCACATCATACCACTTACAGATCCATCTTTCTTCTGCATTGAAATGGTATCCTGATACCAGATTATTAAGAATGTACAGGTGTGTTTCAATGACTGACCTTGTCAGATAATACCAGATTGATTTGGTTAAGGAAAATAGAAAGTCAAGATGAAACAGCATTTCATGCTTACGTGAAAACACTTACATATAATCATTTTGGCTTACCTAAAAAATGAGGCTGAGAAAAATAAGAGTTGTATTCTGATCTCTTGGAAAGAATTACTGTGAGGATTAACTAACACAACCTGTGGAAATCTCTGACATAGTGACTGGAGCACTGTAGGAGCTCAGTGCTACTTTAAAAAACAAGTGATGAACCATTCAGACAGGCACTGATGAGGCGAGAGAATCAGGAGGCGATCAGAAGTTCGCACAGCAGCTTGAAAAGAATATCCAACAAATATGCGTTGAGGGCATATGTAGGGGGATGAAATGCTACACTTTTTTACAATCTAAGACTTGGAAGCAAATCTAATCCAAGTCACCATTTAGCCCAGGACTAAGGCTACTGGAACCAAAACCCGTGGGGAAATTGATATTCTTATGAGATTAATTCAGGAGGTAGTAGATAATATTTCTTGTTAGCTCTGTAAGGCTTTTATTAAACTTCATGGCTTGGATTTTCACACTTGGGAAATTGAGTGTGTTCTTAAAGACAAGCAATTTTTTACCTTTTGTTTTTTACCTCTTATCTTGGGTCAGGAGGCAGATGCTATCTTGCCCATATGTGCTGATATGAATTGAAGCTACATCTATGGAGGAATCGATTCTCTATCCATGTTTTAAATTTGTGAGCTTAGTCCATGTAAAAGTGAAATTCTGACCTAATCCTTTGAAGACTTCACTACGAAATGAGTTTTTAATATTTTATAGTTTTACTTAATGTAATTCAATAAGCATGATTCACAGGCTTTTCTATCTCACTTACTGCAACGTGTAGCTCACAGAACTGTAGAAGCACGACTTACCTGCATCTTTCTTCTTGTTTTCAAGGTGATCTAACAGTTGTCGTATTTCAGTGTCATATGCCACCCATTCTGGGACAATCCTGGCGGCAGCTCTTAGTTTGGGCTCTTTTGTTTTGGGATTATTGCACTAGAAGTTTAAAAAATAAAGTTTTGTTACTGAAAACCATGCTCCAGGAAACATAAAGGAAATGCTTGAGGATACAGAGGAGGCAGAGAAGGAAAGAAAGCAAAAGAGGGAAAAAAATTTACATACTGAGGATACAGAAATGAATTTTATAAAAGTGCTAAATATTTGGAATACAGTAATTACCTTAACAGACAAAGAATTCAGTGAGATAACAAATCAGTTTATGTAAGTGAAAAGGATTTAATGTAAGCACCTCAATCAGAAATTTAGACAAAAATTGTTTAAGACATTCTGATGGTGCACAAGAAATTTGTCCAACAATTCTGTAAAATTGTTTGACAAAAGATTGCATAATATGACCATTCTTTAAAAGAACATAGAAGACCATATTAATAAATATGTTTTCTTTTCTTTGGACTAAAAATCTGATTCTATATACTTTATGTTTTCCACAGACAAAACCACTTGTCAGCCTTTAAAAATGTCTTGATTTTCTTTAGCAAACGCATTCATTCCCCTTCACATGCCTTGGTTCTAATTAGCAATTGCGATATTAAAATTCGGTTAACTGGAGTTCAATTGTCAAAATAGTGATAGTTGTGAAATGCAGAATAGCCCAGAAATCTCTTACTACAAAAGTAACTAGCTAGTCTGCGTATGGCAGAGTGGAAAAACAAACGGACATGGACCCCCAAGCCGCAGGGTTCCAACTCCCCACTTACTATAGTAAGGCCTGTACATGTCACCTAACTGTGTGTGTGTGTGTGTGTGTGTGTGTGTGTGTGTGTGTTGGGGGTGGGTGGGCGGAATCTTAGTTTCTTCATTTGCAAAGGAGGAAATAAAAACAAGGTCATCTCCAAGGTTCGCTAACAGATGGCCAATTTAAACTACTTAGTTAGCAACTGGTCCTACTATATAGAGTTTCTTGGGAAATTAAATAAAGGTTAAGAGGCAAAAAGTACAGGAGAAGGTTGAGAAGAATCTGATTCTGGATGCCTCTGAAGGTACAGCTGACATTGCTAATGGCCGGGATGTGATCCATGAGAAAACAGGGGTCAGAGATGACCCCGGTGTTCGGAGATGCCACTCACTGAGACAGGAGAGTCTGTGGGAGGAGCATAAACTCCCCAAAGTTGCGCAGGCGTGCAATTTGCTCTTCACAAAGCGTTAACAGAGAGGCATCTTGAAGCTCTCTTCTGCGTACGTTTTCCTGGGCTTGCCAAACCGGCCTTCTCCTTAATGCCTTATGGGAAAGCTCTTGGTGATGAGCCATGAGCCTGTTCTCTAAATCCTTTCCTCACCAGATATTTTTGGTTCAGTCACTGTGGACTTTTTTTCCTATAGTAATACATTCCTTAAGTAAGTGGAATACAGGATATTTTTTGCAGAAATTACTTTACAGGTGATATGACCTATAAAGGTAATGGAACTGTTTTTCTGTTTTTAATTGTGTCAGAAACTTATTAAAATAAAGATGCTATGATCTCCTTAGTTTTTTGTGCTATATTTTTTTCCCCTTACTATCTATCTCAACACTGCTTTCCTGGGTCTACCATGCCCGGTCTGGGGTGTTTTGGGTAGTCCCGACAGGGGTGGCTGGGCCGCTACTGCCATCTAGTGGCTGCGGCCAGGGACGCAGCTACACATCCTGCCCAGCCCCACACTGCAGGGCCCCGAACAGAGGAGGCGGCGGCCCCAACTGGCAATGCCTGGTTGACAAACCTCCACTGACGCAGAGCTGAGGCGGTGGTGTCAGCGCATTCGCAGACCCTCTCCATCTCACCATCAATACCACTAACCATGCTTTTCCCTCTCCGTTAGGCCATTTCTGTGGGGTTTTTCTGTATTCCCTTAACTTTTCCCCCAAGAAGTCAGCCCAAAATATCATGCTCTCTCATTTTTAAGTGTTTCTGTGGGAGAAATGGTTAGGCTGGCCACCGAAATTTATGCCACCTGTCCTATTTCAATATAGACCTATTGCGAGGAGGTAGCTGCCCACCCAGAATGACGACTGTCAGCGCCTCCTCGGTCTCGGGGCACACGTCGATTCCCGCCCAGGGGCCGAGGCCTCCAGGCGCCCCTCCACACTCCTTCCCCTTCCCCCCGATCAACACTATCCAAGCATCCAACAGAAACAGGATGGCAACCACGCGTGTCATTTTAAATTTCTTGAAGTCACATATAAAAATAAAAAAGGAACAGGTGAAACTTTAATACCGCATCTTATTTGACCCAGTATATCCAAAATGTTAGTAATCATTCATGTAATCAGTATAAAAACTAGTAATCAGATGTTTTCACATTCTTTTTATCATATGGAGTCTTCAAACTCCGGTGTATTTTACACCACACAGCACATCTCAGTTCAGACTATTCGTGTGTTAAGTGCTCCTGGCTCCTGGCCACATGCGGCGAGCGGCTGCCAGACTGGACAGCCCAGCTCCAGACGGCTACCGAGGATGACAAGTCCCTAGAGCAGCAGAAGCCCCAAGACAGACGGAGACTGGTCCCTGCCTCACAGCACACCAGGAAGCTCCCTACTGGCAGGACACGCGTCCCTGTGAGGGTGATGCCAGTGGGACCAGGGATTTGCCAGGGGTGCACATGCTGGCCTAAGTGTCTGGGATCCCAAGGAGGCCTTTGCTAGCCTCCCACGTCCCAACACCACCTGAGCAGCATCTTATGAAGTTATGTTCAGCGATGCTCCAGAGGAGAGTCCCCTGCTGCCCTCCTGGCAATGCCATCGGACTTGTTTCTGCCCCAGGGCATCACCTGTGGCTGCGTCCTGGTAAGCCGGTGCACTACTTTCTTCTTATACATTTCTGGAAAAATGCTCCTATGTTTTACCATCCTGCTTTGTTTAAAACTGTATGAATTCTGATATTTTGGAAGTATATTCTTCAGTGGAGCTCTTGTAAACAATTATTTTATACTTAAATTAGCACAGAAAAACCATGTGGTCAGAAAAAGAAGAGTATCTTGGAACCACAAAAGACAACATAGTATTGGAATGTAATAAGTTCTAGGCAGTTGGACAAGAAATAAGTTTGAAATACTTCATGTCTATGACAGTTAAACTATGTAGCAGAAACTACTTAAAGTGAAAATCTAGGGGAAAAAAACTCTTAAAAATAAGAAAGAAAAAAGATGTGTGGGATAATTTAAATAGATACAGAATTATTTTAGTTATCCTCATTTGGGAAAAATACTGGCAGGAGAGCTAAATGATGATAAGATGATAGCTAACACAAGGGCATTTCAGCTAGCTCGTGGCCTTTCTTTCAAAAGCCCTTGTGCAAAAAAGAGTTAAGATAGCAAGCCTGGGATTACCACTCTCAGAGGCCTGCTTGCAAGGCTGATGCCTGGCTGGTGTCTGGGAGCTTGGGTTTCACAAGCAGGCCAGCCCCTCCCTGCTAAGAACGGCTCGCTGTGCCTAAACTGTGCACACAGCATGGTTCATGCTGAACACCTGCTCTCTTTCTGAATTCTGGTATATGCCAGGCAGAGGGGATGCTTATGTGACCAGCCCTGGGCATTGCATTTCTATTGAGCTTCCCTGGGAGACAGTATTTCACATATGGTGTGGAGTTTCTCCAGGCTGAAGGCAAGAAGCTTGTCTTGGGTAACCTCACAGGGAGAAGACTCTTGGAAGCTTGCACCTGGTTTGCTCTGGGCAAACCCCAGGCATCTTCCCTTTGCTGCCTTTCCTATGTTTCTTTCCCCCGGAATAAATCCCAGCCCAGAGCACCACTATATCCTCAGTCCTGAGACCTCTCAGTGAATTGCCAGACCTGGGGTGCTCCTGGCGCCGCACACACAGCCTTCCACTTGCTCACCTAAGTAAATGTAACAGTGAGTCATGATGAGCAGCAGTGTGCCTTTCCATTTGTAAAACAGAAAATATTTCTCCTTGAACACTTCCACATGTGCACACACACAAGTGCACACACACTCACCAGGTCGATTGTTTTGGCTCTGTGTTTGGACTCATCGTCACACCAGGTCTCACACCACAGCCAGTCTTGAGGAAGAGATTTAATGGCAACTTGGTAAATCATATTATTTGGAAGATCCTACAGAAAAAGTGATTTAAACAAAGAGGTACAGAAATTAGAGTCAAAGCCAAAGAAGTTGAAGATGCATTTAGATTGTAAACCGGTGTTAAAAAACACACGCAATCTGGGATATCTATTTTTAAGCTTTAATACTGAATTTGACCCAATCATTTTGCATCATGAATGAACTCAGGCATGGGGACTAAGCCTACACCCCTCACTTCAGAGATGAAGAGGGAGGCCCAGAAACCCCCCACTCGACATTCCCCTCAATGGGCAGCCTCTGTGCCTCTGTCTGCTTTGGAGCACCCGATGTGCATATCCACACTGCGCCTGCTCTTACTGTCTGTGCCAACCACCACCACACTCGGCATATTCCGAGGTGACCTTTCATTTCTGTTAGGAGACGCTGCCCCATGATGATTCCCACCTTTCTGCGTGCTCAGGGTTTCTAAGGAGAGATCGCTGGCACCTTTGTTAAGGGACGTCTAAACGGCAAATAAGCCTAGTATATTAGAGACCTCTGAAGAGATTCAGAGATACCTGTCCCAGAGATACTTGTTTATATGCCAGGGCTTGTAGAAGCCTTTCCTTCCTCACCCCAGAGAGTATCTGTTTACATTCAGAGAACAGGACACGCTTCCTTTCTGCACCAGAGGGCTTGAGGGCGTGCACGCTAGCTGTGCCATCTAAGCTCCAGGACTGATATCTTCAGGTTCCTTTCCTGTACTATTATAATATCATACTGGAAGTCCTAGCTAATGCACAAGGAAAGGGAACAACAGGTATAGAGGTTAGAAAGGAAGCAATAAAATGGTCTTTGTTCGTAGATGGCAGGATTGTTTATGCAGAAAACCCCAGGAATTAATTTAAAAAACTCCTGGAACTAATAAGCACCTACAGCAAGGTTTCAGGATACAAGGTTAATATACCAAAGTCAATTGCTATATACCAGCAATGAACAATTGGAATTTGAAATTAAAAGCACATCATTTATGTTCACACACACACACACACACACACACACACACACTACAAAACCTAAGGTAAACGTAGGCTTGCATCTTCCATAACTTGTTCTGCTACATGAGGAAAACTACAAAATTCCGATGTAAGAAATTTAGGAAGATCTAAATGAACGAGAGATAGTCCATGCTCGTGGATAGAAAGACTCAGTATTTTAAAGATGTCAGTTCTTTCCAGTTTGATTTATAGATTCAATATAATCCCAATCAAGTCCCAACAAATTACTTTATGGATATTGACCAGCTGATTTTAAACTCTATATGGAAAGACCTTGAGTAACCAACACAATATTGAAGAATAAGAACAAGGTCAGAGGACTGATAATACTGAACTTGTAATCTTACTGTAATAATCTATGGTAATCATGAAAATGCAGTACTGGTCAAATAATAGACAAATAGGATCAATGGACTAGAATAGAGAGCCCAGAAATATGGGAATTCTTTGTATGTTTTTTGCTCAATTTTTTCCTGTAAACCTAACACTGCTCTAAAAAAATACGGTCTATTAATTTTAAAAAATCCTTCACCATTCCTTCCGACACCTTTTTCCTTGGAATCCATCCTTTAAATAACCCGGCGGGCCATCTCATCTCAGCCACTTCCTCTCCCATGGTCGGGGCCCCGCCGTGCCCGTACGTCCAGTTTCCTGCTCTCGCTCTGGGACGGCCTCTTGGTTCTCAGCTCGCTCCAGCAGGTACTCAGATATCAACACCCTTTGAAAAATATCTATTTAAATCCTTTGACCACATTTTAAATTGGTTTTTGTCTTGTTATTGTTTATAAGAGTCCTTTGTGTATGTTCTACATCCTAGTTGCTTATGAGATATATGATTTTTGAGTATTTTCTACCATTCTGTGGGTTATCTTTTCACTTTCTTGTATCCTATAATGCATAAGTCTTAAGTTTTCATGCAGTCCTATTTATATATTTTTCTTTTGTTGTTTATTCTTTTGGTTTCATATCTAAGAAACCATTGCTTAATCCAAAGTCACAAAAGTTTACATCAATATTTTCTAAGAGTTTCATACTTTGAGCACTTACACTCAGGTCTTTAATGCGTTTTGGGTTAATTTTTGTATATTGTGTGTAGCATGGGTCCAACTTTATTCTTCACATGTGGATATCCTGTTGTTCTAGTACCTTTGTTCAAAAAAGCTATTCTTTCACAAAATTATCCTGGCATGTGTGTCACAACTGAAGTGATCACAGATGAATGAGTCTTTTAAATCTGCTCTATTGATCTATACGTCTAACCTATGCCAGTCCACTTACTATACATATTTAAAGGGTACAGTGTGACATCATGACCACAATCAAAATCACTGAACACATCCATCAACCTTAAGTATCTTCACGTCCTTTTACAAACCTTCCCTTCTGTTTTTCCTACATCTGTCCAACCTAGTTTCCGGGTAAGCATGAACTGCTTTTTGTCACTATGGTTAGTTTGCATTTTCTAGAATTTTACATAAACAGAATCAATACTTCTGGCCAGGCTTCTTTAGATAAAACGAATTATTTTTAGATTCATCCATGTGGTTATATGCATGAAAAATTAATTCCTCTTTATTTAGTATTGTATTTTATGGATATACTACAATCTTTTTATTCAATCTCCTCTTGACAGATATTTGGGTTTGTGGAAGGCAGCTGCTGAAATGGCTTCCAGCGATCCTTGCCTGGAAGGATCGTTCTTTTGTGCAATTCTATCTCCTGCAGAGTGGCTGGACCTAGTGACTTCCTTCTAAAAAAGAGACTATGGCAAAGTAATGGGATGCTAGTTCTGTGACTGCATCACAAAAGACCATGACTTCTGTTCTTCTGGCATTCTGACACTTCTTGCATGCTCCTCCTGATGGAGACACCACACGGCAAAAAACTAATGACCATTGAGAGGCAGCAGCCAGCAAGGCAACAATGCCTTCTGGGGAAAAGCTCTTGAAGCCGTGAACCCCGCCCATAGCCACATGAGTGGCCTTGCCCAGCCAAGTCTTTAGATTAGATGGCAGTCCCAGGGTTGACACAGAGATCACAGCCTCGTGAAACCATGAAGCAGAACGCTGGCCAAGTGGGGCCCAGATTTCTGGCCCAAAGAAACTGTGTGTTACATTAAGTTTCTGTATTTTGGGGTAAGTTGTTATACAGCAATAGATAATTAATATAAGGTTGTTTCTATGGTTTGGCTTTTACAAATAAAGCTACTATGACTATTCTTGCATAAGTCTTTGTGTAGACATATGCTTTCATTTCTCTGGGGCAAATGCTCTGAAATGGAATGAGTGGTCATTTGGTAGGCATACAGCTAAATTTATAAGAAATCAACTGATTTTCAAAATGGCAATGGGAGTGTGAGAATTCCAGCCGCTGCACATCCTTGTCAACACTTGGTATGGTTGGTCTTTTTAATGTTAACCATTCTAATAGATGTGTAGAATTATTCATTGTGGTTTTAATTTTTATATCTCTAATGACTAATGATGTTTAGCATCTCTTCATGAGCCTATTACCATTTGACCATCATCTTTGTTGAAAATCTGATTTCTTTCTTATTAGTGAGTTTTGAGAGTTCTTTATATACTTAACCATATTTTTTTCTTTTATGAATCACATTTTTATTGTTACATCTAAAATAATCTGCAAAATCCAAGGCCACAGATATTTTCTGTCTTCCAAAAGTTTTCTAGTTTTACATTTTATCTTTAGATCTATAATGTTTTAAGTTGGTTTTCATATTTGGTGTGTGTTATGGATTGCAGTTGCTTTGTTTTGCATATGCGTGTCTAATAGCGCCAGCACCATTTGTTGACAAGGCTGTCCCTGCCCCACTGCACTGCCTTTGCACCTTTGGCAAAAGTCAGCTGTCCATATGTGGGTCTCTTTCTGGATTCTTTATTCTGATTCATGGACTGATCTATCTTTACACCAAATCACACTGTTTTGCTTACAAAAGCTTTGTATTAAGTCTTGAAATCAGGTAATAAGTCCTCAAACTTTATTCTTTTTTAAAGTGCTTTGGCTATTTTAGGTCTGTTGCATTTCTAAATGAACTTTAGAATCAACTTTGTCAGTTTCTACAAGAAAGTCTATAGGGAAAAAAGCCTGTATTTTTATTGGAACTGAATTAAATCTAGAGGTCAGTTTGGGGAGAAATCACATCTTAATAGTCTTAATCATTCTGACCCATGAACAAAGTGTGCCTTCCTCCTTATTCACATGGTCTTTAATCTCAGCAGTGTTTTGTAGTTTTCAGTCTGCAGGTCTTAAATCTGACTGATGATTAAGTCATTAATTTTAAAAATGCTGTTAGAAATAGTATCATCCTTTTAATTTCAAATTGTTCATTGCTAGTACACAGAAATAGAATCGATTTTCATATATTGATTGTGTGTCTTACAGCCTTGCTAAACACACTTACTGGTTCTTTATAGCTTTTTGATTATATAGGGTTTTCTAGATGATCATATTGTCTGCCAAAAATAGAGAAAAAGATACCTTTTCCTTGCCCATCGATACCTTTCCTTGTCCTTGCCTCGCTGTGCTGTCCAGTACCTTTATTACACGGCTGAGTGGGACTGTGAGGGGATATCCTTGCTTTTGCTCCTGATCTCAGGGGGACAGTGTTCAGTGTTTCCCAATTCAGTCTGATGTTTACTACAGGCTTTTCACAGAAGTCCTTTAGCAGGCTGACAAAGTGCCCTTCTTGTCTTTCTTAGCCAAGAGTTTTTAGGAATGGATATTGGAGTATAGCAAATGCTTTTACATCTGTTTAGCTGGTCATAAGGTTTTTCTATTGTAGTCTGTTAATATGGTGAATTACATTGATTAACATTTTAATATTGAATGAACCTTGCATTCTTAGGATAAAGTCCATTTAGTCGTGATACAGGGTCTTTTTAAAAAATTTATTGCCCAATTTGGTTTCCCAAAATTTTATTAAAGAGTTTGACATCTGTTGATGAGGAATACTGGTCATTTTCCTTTTTTGTAGTGTGTTTGGTCTGGTCTTAGCGTCAGGGAATGCTGGCTTCATAAGAGGTAAGTATATTCCCTCCTCTTCCATTTTCTGGCAGGTGGTGTAGAACTGGCATTCTTTCTCCAGTGTTTCATAGAATTCACTAAGGAAGCTAGCTAGGCTCGGAGATTCACGCTAATTCAGTCTCCTCAGTTGACATGAGACTCTTTAGGCTATTACTTCATTTGGAGTGCATTTTGGTAGTGTGTGTCTTTTAAGTAGTTCGTCTGTTTTATCAAAGTTGTTGCATTTACAACCATAAAGCTGTTCATGATTGTCCTTCTCCAGTATTTGAATATCTGTAGATACGGTGCTGTCAGGTTTCTCATTTCTGTATTAGTAATTTGTGTCTCTTACCGTTTTTGTGATCAAGTCTGGCTACATGTTTGTAAGTTTTGTTAATTTTCTCAAAGAGCCAACTTTGGCTTTACAAAAAAAACCTGAAAACATACAATTTTTCTTTTTTTTCATTTAACTGATTTCCACTCAGGTTTTAATTATTCTCACCCTTTCTACTTTAATTTTAATTTGCTCTTTTTGTTCTAGTTTATAAATAGAAGCTAAGGTTATTTATTTGAGACATCTTTTCTTTTCTGTAGAGGTACTCAGTGCTATGAATTTATCACTCGGAACTTTTAAGCTGCTTCAGATGATGCACCTTGTCATTCACTTTGTATGCAAAGAGAAGTAGCCAAAGGCTAAAATATCAAATCCATGTGCAATGGTGAATGGTTCAGCTGACCGGTCAGGGGACTAGAAGTGGGAGATTAAGGACAAGAAATTCTGGGGTAGAGGCTTATGGATGAACCTATGCAGGTGGCAGAAATTGTCAAGATCTTGGCATATTGCATGTTAAATATCCACGAGAAACATTCCATGCAGCAGCAGCACTGATGAGCAAGCAGACGGAACGATGTGGCCTGCTGATGTCAGCTAGCCTTGGTCCCTGGCTACTCCAATGATACAACAGGTACATGGAAGGAGCCGTCTTGATGGGAGAGGCGGAGACTATGAAGGGGCCCTACAGCATGGCCTCCCACTCAGCTAAGGCTGGTCCAGCTCTTCCTGCTGCCAGAAGCAGAGACAAACACAGAGCTTCTGATGCAGCAGTTATATTCTGCAAAGATACATCAACTGTTTGGTGGTGAGCTGACTACACTGAACCCTTTCTATTCTGGAGGGGGCACAGAATCTCCTAAACTGAAGTGTACATAGATTCTGTGTATGGTTAGCCTTTCCTGCTCTCAGAGACTTCACCAGCACTGTTATCCACAGCTTATGGAGCTACCCACTGGCATGGGATTCTGTATAATACTGCATTAGACCAAGAGACCCACTGTACAGCAATGAAGCATGGCAGAGGACACGTGGCTGAGAGATCCCACGGCCCTTTCACGTACTGCACACCTAGAGGATGGTAGAGGCAATGGAATGATGTACTGGGAGCACAGCAGAGGTGCCACCTTGGATATTACACTCTGCAGGGGTGAGGTGCCATCCTTGAGATGTGGCATTGTATTCTAAATCACCAACCATTATATGGTGCTGTGCCACCATCGGAAGAAGTACAAGGACCCAAGGGGGCCCAGTAGAAGTGCACTTGCTCATCTCATCCCTTCCAGAAGCCCTCTGGGGGAGTTGTGTTTGTTACCCCTTAGCTCTGGGAGGCTCTGGGTCCCACTGCTGGGTTAGGCAAATCGAGAAATTAGTGAGATGTGATGAAAAAAGTATTTGTCTGTTGGGAAAAACAAAATGTAAGCTAGTAGCGAGGTGGGGCACAGGAGAAAGGGAGTTTGTCTTAAAAACCAGAGAGAGAAACATGGTTAAATGATGGGAGTAAGACAAAGAGATGGTATGCAAGCGAGACAGGGCATATAGTGGGAAGAAGAGGTTTAAGGACAGAAAAGTGAAGATGAAATATCACTAGTTTTGAAAATGTTGAGCTTGCAGTGAAAACATTCTATGTAAGTTGATATATCCAATAGAGAACTGTATAAAGGAGAGAAAGAAGCTGGAAATACAAGATTTTGAAGTTTACAGTCAGAGAGTTGGATCTCTGTACTGAAATCCATTTATATCTATGTACTGAAATTTATTCTATGAACAGTTACTTACCTGATCCAGGTTTGAAAGACTGTTGGGATCTTGACTGAGAGTTTGGTACTGGCGCCGGAGCTTGTCACCTGCTGCGATTCTCCTGAACTTCTTGAGATCCACTACATACAAGGCACTGCAAGGTGAATACTCGTGGTAGTTTGTGCTGCTCAGGTGTTTCTACTTTCCCCAGCTGACTGTCTCAAGAACCAGTATTAACTTTAGCTGTCCTTGGGTCTAATCATAATGAATCCTTTCATAAATTTGCTCCCAATGTCTGATACTGTTTCCAAGGAGTTTGAAGGCTGTTTTAATACTGTTTTAATACTGACCCATGTCCTCTTAGGGTCACCTCAGGTATCGCCAAGATCTCATGAAACTTCCTACAGAACAGTAAAAGCTTTGGAGACAGCATCTGCATTTTATCATTTGACAAGCCAACTGTAAGTCCTCCGTGGTAGGTTAGGAGCACACCACTTGAGCCATATTCCTTGGGTTTAACTCCTGGCTCAGCTCTGTACTAACAGCATAAGCCTGGGCACGTTACATAAGTGCTATATCCCTGGTTTCACATATGGAGAGAACGACAGTATCTCAAAAGGTTATCACAGAGATTTTATGAGTTAATATATGTAAAGTCTTGTAAGAGTGATCTTTTAAGAGTGACTGGCGTGTAATAAGCACCATATAATTGGTTGCCATTATTGTGTAACTTCTAAGAAAAGTGAATATTGTGATTCAGTAGGTTATTTACTTACTAAAAGGTAAGCATATGGATTTTCTTACCTGATATGGTATTTCCTTTTTAAAAGATGTGTTGCCCAGTATCCCGTTTTCCAGAAGCGATACCCATCCATCTCAGTGCGGCTATCACAAAAGGGGGTATACCCATAGGGGGCGCCATCCAGATCGAAATCTCGAAGTTCTTTGAGGTCATGTCTCACAATCTGAATAATTAAAATTGTTACTTTGATGAAAACTATAAGTATTAATAAGCCCTTTTGATGTGGGTCTCAAATTATTGTGGAAAAATTCATTTCCTCACAGTTCTTTCGTGTAATATGAGTTTACTAAGTCTCTATATTTTTCTTGTCCTTACAGATTTAAAAAACCCTAACATTTATACACCTGGTCTATAAGACAGCAGTCATACTCATTAATAAGAATAGCTTGTTACATCATTTTTTAATCAAGTTATTTTAACAAAATGTAGTTGGGAAGGAATTAAATATTACACAAGTGCATAGCTCTTAGTTTCTCGAGGTATGGGTTAATAATTCAAAATCATTTTTATGGTAAATTTCCATTATTGTATATATATTGGCATATATTAGTTTGAGTCATAAAGAAACATCTTAAAATTCTCAATTTAATGAGATAATGTTAGTATGTCTCATTTTTTGAAAGACTCTAGCCTGCTGGAAAAATATTATTGTATCTGTTGAGGGAAGAAAGGAAAAATAAATTTGATGTTAGAAAGGCTTAGTTCATCATCCACATTTCTCTGTTTTCTTAGTTTTTAATTATAATGATTCATTTTAATTTGGAAAATAATACAAAATAATGAGTTTATTTAGACTCAAAGTAAATTTAATAGAGGATTTGAAAAATATACTTGTTGTCCTAAATATAAATACTAACTTGTATACCGAATTTATAGAACATAAGTATTTACATATTACAGTTCTTAGAAATTCTATGTATTTTTAAAATATTTTTCCCATTAATGATTACAAAGGCATGCAAGGACGGAAGGGGAAAGTCATAGTTTTTGGATATGTGTATGCTGACAGCTGAGTGCTGTAATGTTTTGGGACCCAAATCCGACACGTTTCCCCTGTGCTGTAGGATGCTGAGGATTCGCTTATGGGCTCAACGCCAAAGAGTGCTGCGTAGGCAGAAGACAGAGGACAGCTGGGGCTGATGGCCGGCTTTTCCAACAAGAAGCTGTGACTCCTCTTAAATAAATATCAGTGCATACTCATGGGAACTCATACAAGTACTTTTATTATGACTAATATAAGATTTTTATTTTTAATGACCAAAATTAATCACTACTTCAGAGAGAAAACTGCCATGCCCTAAATAATAGTGGTACTTCATGCAGCACCTTTCTTTCCCCCTGGAATTCTGACAGTTGTTTTTAAAAGATACTTTGCTTATATGTTACAATCACATTTTAACGTGTACATAGCATGGCAACAAATTATAATAGACACCAGTAAAACAAATTGAGTCCCAAAAGTGTCAGAAAAATCTAAGTACAATAAGTTTATCTTATTACCTGGTCAGCATCAACAAAAATGATTTTGTCCACTGCTAGAGGAAAAAGGACATCAAGGAAAAGAATTTTGTAACCCCAAATAATCCTTTGTTTTTCAGTCTGTTGATGAAGCCAATGGGGCCACCTATATTGGACTAGTTCATATTGGAATCCATATTCCTTAGCCATGTGAGGAATTACCTCCTAGAAACATACACATACACATAAATCAAAGAATATGTCCAAGGAAGAGAAAGTTTTTGTTTTAGAGACAAATTAACATTAGGTAGAGTTTACTATAAAGTGTTACAAACCAATTGGTAAAATGCCTAAATATTACTTCTAATAACTTATACTAATAATAAGAAATATGAAAATGCTGACAAAATATAAAAATACAAATGTACAGAAAATTATATAATTAATGACATTAAAAAATAGATACACCATAATAACTAGCCAAGTTTATTAACTAACATCAGTGTTTCCCTACACTTGCTACTACTGTCTGAGAGAACCTGACTATGGGAGAAGACGCTCTGGACCCTGGAACCTGTATGTCAGTTTGTGTATACGTCAACATGCTGCTTGGTCAGGAGATGAAGAGGGTATAAAAAAACAAGAAGTGAGCTGTAAATTCAAAATTACGTTCTCTAAATGAGTTTCGTATTTGAGATTTAGTATTGTTTAGCTCAAGAATCCAAAGTACAAGGCAGTCGCTGTTGTCTGAATATTTGATATTTGATTCAGTATCCTACAGAACTAGAGTACCTTATTTTGCTTAAACCAGGGCAGTTAATGGAATACATTGTTGGCTAAGTTTGGTTCAAGAGCCCAAAAACTGAGATGGGGGATAGTAAAAGTGGGAGAAATAAGCTCTGTTTGCATGACTCCAAGGGGAGAGGACAATGGGAAGCCCTGGGTTGGTATATCTGGACCCTGCCCCATGTGCCTCTCTGTTTTGCTGATTTTAATTTTTATCTTTTTGTTGTAATAAACTCTAACTGCATGTATAATTGTTTTCTGAGTTCGTGAGCCCTTCTTGTGGACTGTTGACTCTCTGGTGGTGACTGTGGTCATGCAAACCTCCCAACTGTGCAAGTCAGTTATGTAACTTCTGAGTCTTGGTTTTCTGGGAAGAGGACTTTATAAAGAGCAACTGAACAACGCAGGCAAGGTACTTGGCAACGTGACTGGCAATACTGAGGAATAAAAGCATGGTTGGCTGTTTTTATTTTTGCTCTTACCACTGATTTTGGTGTAGGAAAAGAGGACTCCTCTGAACTACTGTTGAATGAGACCTGAACTTTCATGGAATTGAATACTTTGCAATCGGAAGAACAGGAAGAAAAGGGGTACACTTTGTGGCAGGAGTATGGAGCTGAGTAAAAGGCAATAGATGTTGGCCATCTGGAAACTTTTAAATATAAATGCCTCAGAGTTCTAACCATGTGCTCACACCACCTCTTCACAGAGACCAAGCAGCCTTACTGCTCTCAGTGCTACTGAGCTATTTCCTATGGTACACTGCTTATTTTCTGGGTGCTACTGTTTCAGCCTATCTTTGTAAAAATATGACAGAATCCAATTCTTTTCATTGACAATCTGTACATCTTTTTCACTGCCAGATTATATTTGATTATATTCATTACCATGAAAACAACTATTTCTGATTTTGAGTTTACTTAAAAACAAACATTTCTTCAAGTCCTGTTAAACACTTCTTTAAATAAAAACAGCATAAAATTCTTCTTAAGCTAGATAATACTGAATAGCAAAGTTTTAAAATTGATTAAAGATAGTAATTTGAGTAAAAACACATTTCAAAAGACTCATTCTGAAAAGAGAAATGGTATATGAACAATGATATAAATAACTGACTATTCAAACATTAACCATTCTATAAAAAAAGATTAATGTACATACTTACTTTAAATCTTGGTGAGAGATAATTTTTTAGAAACCAGAATTTCACTGGTGTTTTGGTGTTACGTAAAACAGAAAGCATCATAATTCTGCATAAAAGAACATTAAATCCAGTAAGTTAACAGGAGCTCATCCTACTTTTCTTAAGGCTTTTACATACTTAAATGTATTAATTAGGAGTTTTTCATTATGAATTATAGAGAAATAGACTGAAGTACCTTCAGATGTTATGGTTGCTCAAGTATGTAAGGGTAAGGATGAAGGATATACACACGCACACACACAGTGTAGACTACATTGATTGCTTTCTGTTCTGCTGACAAAGAAAGCAGCTGGTCTGAAATAGTCTGTGTAGCTGCACTACAGTCGATTCTCACTCTATTACTATGTCATTCATGTCAGGTGTGCAAAACCTGAAGAACTGAAAGGTCTGTCTGTATTGATACATTCCCTGAAGAAGTCGCCTGAGCTCTTCTACCCTCTGCTGGGAGAAGACACAGAAGTGCCCACACACACTCCCGCGCTTGCAGGCATTCTCTGCGATCCTGCTATGCACTTAAAACAAAAGCCCCTCCATAGTTGGTGCCTTCTCTTCCCATCCTCCTCCTTTTCATAAAACAAGATTTTCCTTATGGGAAAAAGAAAATTTACTATATAAACTTTCCCTAACATATTGTTACAAAATATGTCCACTTTCTAGCCTTAAAGAACAATATTCCAAATCAAACTCATGAAATTTTACTCTATTTTACAAATATACTTACCTCATAATTTGGGTTAAAGAAAAGCAAGGTACAAAGCAGTATCTACTTTGTTATCATTTGGGTAAAATGGGAGTTAAAAAGGGGAAAAATGTTTACTTGTCTATATGTATCATTGGCAGGATATAAAAACAACAACATTGTTCCCTTTGGGAAAGGGTATCACGGGAACAGGGGTGGAAGATTGTTTTCACTGTACATTCTGCACCCAACTCTTATTCTTTCTGAATCATGTAAACGTATTACTTACCTAAACATTAGATAAAAATATACCTACCTTAAAAAGCGTTCATACAAATGTCCAGAGGCAATTGAAAAAATGTTTAGGACATCTGTTTCCTTTTTGTCTTTTCCTTTATGCAACATTCTTGTGAAACTTGGAAAAAAAAAAGTAGTGATTGACAGTTTCTTAACACACATCTGCAAACTTCATATACCTTGATAAAACACTGAATTTGATAAGCCATAAAACAGGAATGCTTTTCAAAATGAATAGTTATTACACTGTAAACAAGTTCTTATTCTAACAATTATGAATTATCAATGTTAAAATAGGACAATATAACTTGAAGTTTTACAATTTAAAAGGATTTTTTACACAGAATGCAATTATATTGTCTTTAGGTTAATGAGGCAACGACTTTGAATCTTTGTGAGTCACAAAAGCTGTTTCAAGAACAAAGAATGAGTTGAGGCGATGGAATACCTAGGGTGTTCAAACTTGAAACAGGCCAGTGATGAGGGAAGAGCCTGAATGTCGAGTGTGTAACTATGGCACAGCAAGAATTTTCATATGGGGTCATAAGTTAGGCCCTTGGGTGCTACAGCGTGGCTCCCGCAGGATGAGATGTTATGAAAAGTGCGCACAGTTCAGAGCCCTTCGGCCAGGCAGTCTCCACTCCCCGCGGGCTGGGGCGGAATCTGTGCTCTGGGTGCCTCCGCGAGGAGCAGAGGAACACGGGGCACCCTACCCCTGCTGCTTTACGTCACGGCAGCTCCATCTGGGCCCAGCTGTCCTTGTCGCTGTCTGGACCAGATCAGCTTTTGAAACGCCCCCACCTCATGTACAAAAGTGACTGAATCGTTTATTTGGGATTTTCATAGTGTATAATTTCTTCTTCTTTTACTTTCTTTTTAAAATTTTTAGTTAATTGAGAATTTCATTTTTAGAGGCACAGGTATTTAGAAGGACTCATACTTAGAAAACTACATAATTTATAATCACCATGGAATATATTTTGCCAAATAGGGATTGTTATGACAGATCTTTTCTAGTCCTTTTTTACTGTAATACCCCAAATAAGAAAAACACATGGTTGATTCAGTGAGGAAAAAATAAAGACTCTAAATTAGGATTAAAATTAAGATAAAGAAAGCATTATAATATACATTAATACTTATGTATCTGGAGGAATTGCCATCACAAAAACTTACCTTCTCTCTTTCTAATGGACCATTATTTTGTTTCCAGATCTTCTCTGTTCATTAAGTCGGTGGGCTACAGTTCAACAATTACCTTTATTCATTCTGTCCCCACCTTCTGGTTTTAGAGGAAGATCATGGACAGATACTCTTTAAGATGCCCCGACTGTTTCATTAGCCCTTATCAAACATACCTACTCTTCAATTCACCTCAAAATGAGTGAGTTTGAGCTGCTCTCCTTTGGAAACTGGTTCAATGCACACACTGGGAAAATAAAATGGTTCTTATCAAACCAGGAGTCAACTATGAAAATGAGGCCTAAACCAGGCAAAATCAGAGTGATGGGAAGGCTCTGGCTGTTTTAACAAAATCCACTTCAGATGTTGAATCTATTTGGCCTGAAGTTTCTATTTCTTTTCCTTGATAAACATGATCAATGATTCTCTATCATGAATCAAATTAAGTTCAAATCTCTAGAAAGGACTTTTAAAGTTTTCTACTTTAATGTGGGTCTACAGCAGACAGCTTGTTTTTGCCTAACATCTTTTACACTTCAAGTAACAGCAGCCTGGTATTTTTTGTTGTGGTGGGGCGGTGGGGCAGAGAATTCCTCCTCCCGTTTCCTTCTAGGAGGTTTAGGTGGGAGAGGCCTTCTCACCGGCTCTACAGGTAGGCAGGTGTATGACTCAAGCATTCTCAACTGGAGACACATGATCAGCTCGGTTTGGGACACGTGGCTATAGGTGGACCAGTGAGTCAGCCTTGGGAACTTGGCTGGAACTGTTTGGAAAGAGGCAGTCTCTTCCCACTGAAGGTGGCACCTTTCTCTTGTAAAAGTTTATCTGAAAATGAAGGTAGCACAGATAGCAGAACTAAGAGATGGAGAGTTTCTAGACTGTATCGCCCGAGTGGCCAAGGCCAGCTCTACTCCTGGACTCTTTATATATCAGCTAATACATTCTTTTTTTGACTGACTAATACAGGTCCTAACCTAACTTGAAGATTCCCTATTATATTTAACGTCCCAGCTGAGCTGGGCTACTTTGTTCCTTGAGGAACATGCTCAATCTTTTTAACCTCTCTCAATATCCAACTTCTGAGTCCAGGCCATCCTTCGGAACCCATCTCAGTCACACATCTCCCTAAGGGGTCTCTTCTCAGATGGTACCAGACTGGATGCAGCCATTTGGCTCCCTTGGTTTGCACAGGACTTTATTTTCAGTGGTCTTACAGTTCCAGTTTCCTATCTTGTATATTAATGTTTATGTGACTGTCTTATCCTTCCTAGAGGAGAGGATCTGTGCTTAACTTGAATGTTTACCATCTGCAGGGTTTCCACATACTAGACTCCTGATGGATCTACAAGTTATATGTTAACACATGCATTTGTAATTACCTTTTAATGGAATCTTTTCCTGTTTTTCTTTCATCTTTATCACTAAGGACATCTTCCTTAATTTTGTCTGGCTTTTTTTGCACCTAGGTAGCATGGTAAAGAAAAATTTTAGAGTTTTGCAGCTTTAAGTATTATGCGGCATGGTCAGAAAGTGAACATACTGGGCAAGGAGACCCTGTGAATCTAAGATAGCTGCAGTAAACGAAGCCAGGGAAGATCTTAGTACAACATTATAGACACAACCTGGTTTCAAAGATCAGTTCAACCTCTTCTTTTTAGTTCTTTGGTATCCACCATGATATCGCTAAATAATGTGCTTGTTATATGGATTTACTGATTTATGAACGTTAGATGTTATCTACTAGTATATCTGGATTCACAGGGTTGAGACATTATTCATTCTTTCTGATGACAGATGAGCAGCTCACTTACATCACCCTTCCCTTCTCCCTTTTGGAAGTTTTGCATTAGTTCTTCTACTTTGTTAGTAATTTAAAATAATATTTAAACGTATATTTTTTTTATTCCAAAAACATTGTTTCTCTTGCACACCCAGTTTATATAAGCACACCAATACCTCTACCTTTTCCCTCTGCCTCCCAACTTACATTGTCAATAATGTTTACATAGTTACATCTTTTGCATTTTGCTATGTTTATTCTACAACTTGAAAAATCAGTAAATGGTGCTTATTGCAACAATTTAATACTATTCAATAAAGAGTCTGAAAGGCTACTACAATTATACTTCCTTTGTACAGTTACGATGACATGACCACCGTGTCACTCATTATTAGTAGACTCTTGCTAGTTCAAATGTATTCTGCTTTCTTATATTCCACCAATAGAGAATTTTTTTCCTGGAATTCTATTGTATTTATTTTTTCTTGTGGTGAGATATATTTCTCCTTTACCATATACCTAACTTTTCCAGTTTATTACTCATATTACATGATGGTCTGAATTTGCTGTCTATTGAAGACATTCTTCTTGAAGCTCAACAATTAACTGCCTGTTTCTTTCTAGTCCTTATGTTAATTTTCAGATTAATTTCACCATTTCTTGAAGTATCTTTCTTTTCTTGGTCTTTATCTTCACTGCACTGGCAAACACCTTTATTAAGAAGGGGTGTGAAAAAGTCCTTCTAAATCTTCGCACTTAAGAAAACTATTTTGCCTTCACGTCTGGTAAAGAATTTAGCAGAAGAATGCTAAGATCAAAACAATTTTCCTCAAAACACTAAAGGCTTTGTTTTGTTGTCTTGTAACATCCATTTTGAAATGAAAAGTCTGATGCTACTGCTCGTGTCATCCCACCGCAGCATCTGCCTTTTCTCTGTGGTAGTTATTAGGGTCTTATGTGGGCCATTTCTCACTCATCCTAATTAGTGTACCCTTTTAACATCAACATTTTTCCATTTAACTTTCCTTTCTCTGTTTTCTCTGTTTCTTCTTTTGGAATTCCTATTTGGAATTTGTATTCGTGGGCTACTGTAGTTCTGGGCTGATGTTGCTTATCTTTTCTTGCTTGTCTTTTTGTATAATTCTAAGAGATGGATGGTGAGGAGACAAAACTGTTATTTAAAAAAACTGAAGGATGTAGGTGATTAGGCTTAGAATGTTTAAGTAGGGCATAATTATTACCCTCGAGGATTTGATGGTCATGGTGAAAGGACCATCTCTATATGATGGACAAACAGGTCAACTTTGAACCAATACATGGAGTACAAAAATTCAGCTCAGAAAAATGAAACAATAAAACAAATTTTCAATGGTCCTAATTGCTCAAAGATGGAATTGTTCTGCCCAACAGAAATGGTATTCCTCTCCTGTTTGTAGGGGTAGGAGAAAACGAGATGGAATGCTGGTCCTAAAGGGTTTAGGCTGAGATAATATCTTATACATCTCATCTGGGTTTTGTGAAGTTTTCATTTGGAATGGCCTGTTTAAGGAAAGAGTGTAAGTTGTTACCAAGAAAGGGATCAACATAGGAGAAAGAGTATCAAAGGTGAGTGTGAGCAACATACATAACTGATCACAGGACAAAGAGCAGAGGCTATTAGGAACAGGTTTGTTGTGGGATATAAGGTACATTTTGGTGATATAGTAGCTTAAGATTTAGGCAATATATGAGGTGCAAGCATTGATGGTCTATGTTATTGGATCTTAGAGATTCCAACCATATGGGTATTACCTAGTTATCTTTAGATGTTAATTTATACTATACTGTATTGTAGATAGAGAACACATTCTATATGATTTCATTCTGAATTTTTTTGAACCTTGCTTTTGAACTAAATGTAAAGCTAATTTTTATCAATTTTTCTGTGAATTTGAAAAGTTGTTCATTCGGTGTTATTTGGTGTGTTCTATATGTCTATTAGGTGAAGATTTATAAATGTGTGTTAAAAATATTCCAATATGATAGAGAACTCTCAATTTCTCTTTGTAATTCTATCTCTGCCTTATACTTACATAAAACAATCTTATCTTTAGTAACGTTACTTGTCTTAATGTCCATTATCTCTGATGTTAGTATAGCTATACAAGATTTGTTTAGGTTAGCATTGGCCTAGTATATAGTTTGTCACACTTGTATTTTCATCTTCTCCCTAAAGCTGTACCCTTATGTATTTGGTGTGCTTTCTGTAAACAACATCCAGTTGGGATTAAAACAAAAATTTCAGTATAACAATCTTTGTCTTTTAACTGGAACATCTAGTCCATTTACACTTAATGTAACTGGGTTAAATTCAAACTATTTTGTGCTTCCTCTATGTTCCATATGTTCTGCTTTATTTGCTCTCCTTTCTTAGTCGATTTCTTAGTCTATTTTTCTTCTTTATTAGAACATTATGCCTTGTTTCTATTATTTTAGTAATTATCTTAGATACCAAAAAAATTCATATTTGCCCTAAAGTCTAAAGTAATCATTACCCTTGCTCTTGTCAATGTATGAACTTCATCTATTACTGAAAACAACCCTATTTAACTTCTGGCTTAAATGCTTTTATGTTTTTAAATTCTATATATGTATTTTAAATCCTAAAATACTTGTTTTATATATTTCCTGTTCACAGAGTCATCCACATTTTTACCTTTTACTTTCTCTTCATTCTTTTTAAACTCAGACCTTCCACCTGAGATAATTTATTTTCTACCTGAAGTACATCTTTTAGAATTTTCTTTAGTATGAGTGCACTAGTGGCAAATCCAGTCTTTTAATTTGTCTGAATATGTTGTTTTATGTTTCCTCTTGAAAAGGTATCTTCAAAAAGGGTAAATTACTCTAGGTTGACATTTTCTTTTTCATGCAGTGATTTAGATATCATCTCAATATCTTTTGGCTTTCATTGTTACTGCTGAGAAGTCACTTGTCAGACTAACTATAGCTCTTTGAAGGCAATTTTTCTTTTTTTTTTCTATGTTTACTCTCAATACTTCTCTTTGCTTGGCTTTCTGCAGTTTAATCAACAAGAGTCTAATTGTGGATTTCCTTCTAATTGCCTTGCTTGGGAATCACTGGACTTCCTGACTATGAAAATTGGTATTGTTAATCAATTCTTGAAAATTCACAGCCATTATTTCTTTAAATTTTAGCTGTACGTCATTCTTTTGTCATCTTCTGGAACCCATTTAAACTGATTTTATTTATTCAATACTCATAAGGCACTTTACAAAGCTAAGCTATCTTGTCCTTATAGGAGACATATAAGTAGACATGCTCTACTTGTCCTATTATTAATTCCATTTTATAGATGAAGAAAATGAGACAGAAAGAGGTTAAGTAATGTGTCCAAAGTCACACAGCTAATGAATGGCAGAGCCAGGTTTAAGTGCAATCCTGGTATCTTAGATTTCTCCCTCTATTCTCTATGTCTTTTATGCTCTGTGCTGTATTTTCCTCTATTTTAATGTCCCTATTGCATTTGGCATACTTTTTTTGGTCTACCTGTCAACTCACTGATTCTCTTTCCACGCATGTTTAAGTCATACACTGAATTCTTAATTTTGATTATTGCATTGCTTAGTTTTAGAATTTCTACTTTAAAAAAAATTAGCTATGTGCCTTTTATAGTTCCCTGCTCCTTAAAAACTATTGTTAAGCTTGTTTTTAATTTCTTTAAGCACCATAAGCACAGTTGTTTCAGAGCCTGTGTCAATATTTCTAATGTATGGAGTATTTGTGTGTCTGTTTTCTGTTGTTTGTTGTTTCTGTTTTGTTTATATGTGTATTTGTATACAGGAATCTTATTCCAGAAATATATGGATGTTTCTGCCAGATGCCTATACAACCTTATCAATCTGGAATTACTTTAGTACATATTCTAGCCTCAGGGTTCCCTGGACTATTTAAGTGATATAAATTTGGACTAAAAGACTGTGTGGGATAATTTACTAGGGTTCATCCTCACCCTGAAGCCACAGCCAGCTCATTGTAGACGGGGCCTTCTAATAGGTTACACACTTTATATGAGAGTCCAGGGTTTCAGTTACTGTCCCCAGCACCCTGTAAATTAAATCAAAACGATAGTCCACAGATACCGGGACGGACAAATGTTCTCAGGGTAACAGTGGCTTTCTCTGGACAAGAGACACTTCTGTGCTTGCTCTACTTTACTAGACCCTTATTTCCCCTTTAATTTTAGTTTAGTATTTCATTAAGTCAGCTCTATATTGCTTTTAAGATTAAAAAAAAAAACCTTTACCCAACAATTTTTCTAGTTTTAAGTACATAGGTTAGTCCAAAACAAGTAAACTTGCCGTAATTGAAAACTCCTCTCTCCTTTTTTGGTAAAGGAAAGAAACATCACTTTTTCAGGGCTGACTTTTCAACCTGTGTGCCTGATCTCAGCTCTAGTGCCTAACCTGTAACATTATTTGACTACAATGCAGTGGATATAGTAGACACATGAGAACTATAAAAAAAGAAAATAATCATTCCTCTTTTTCTATCATCAAGCTCTCTGCTTTCCCTTTATGAACTTAACCTTCCTTTCATTGCCAGAGTTGCAATATGACATTTTAGGTAGTAAAATTATAAAATCAGTTATAAAATGAGAATTAATCCATCAATTTAGGAAAAAAAAAAGATAATTCTTAGTGTGAAGAACAAAACCTATAAAAAACTTCTGCCTCACATACTTGTACTTCCAGTATTTTGCTTTGGAAGCTGTTTAACACAACATTGACATCTCCTAGGCCTGGTTGAGAGTCAGTTCCTTCATGCCTAAAAGCAGAAAAACATGTAAATGTCTATAATCAATTCAAGAAAAGATATACAATTATGGTGGTATAAATGACAGAATAAATTCATTTTGCAATAAACATATGATGTGCATATTTGCTATTTCTATAGTGAATTAAGATATGCTATATGCTATAATATGCTATAATTTTCAAAATTATTCAATCAGTTTAACTTAGTACAAATTAAAATTGTACAGAATTAACTAAATTCGATATTGCCTAATCAAAAAAGCTCAATTTTGCTTATCTTTGCTGCTGTATACAAAGATTACCACATAAGTCAAATTTTTCATATCTCTTTGATACATTTTCTAGACTTTAAAATAACTTGTTTATATGTTCATAATCAAAGGAATTCTATACTGTCCAACAACTTTCCAACATCTATCAGTCATTTTCAAATACTACAATTCAAAATGTATTGCTAAACTCATAAGCCTGAAAATGTGTCCATCTGCATCACCTGAATGGTTCTATTTTACATTATACATAATGTACTTCACTGTCTAATTTTCAAAATTGCATTAAATAAATCAAATAGACACTTTGCTTGTTAAGTACTTTTTTATGATATTTTCTCTATGTACTAAAAAGTGCTACTGTAAAAGACATGCGTAGTAAAACTGAATTTGTCAAAGGAAGAAGGCAATCAGATGTCATATTAGTAGATACTTTAAATTTAGTCAGATTTACAACATACACTTGAACATTTATCTAAAATGAAAATCTGGCACATGCCTTAGACTCTCAATTTCCCTGCTGAGGTAGGTAAACCAAAGTAGAAGGTCCAATCATGCCTAACAATTATTACTAGAAAATAGAAAGGTTCCAACTTAAGTTGTAGAAATGTCAAATTTCTGAAGAGCATTGCTCGAGGGCACCAGCAACTTCCCCGTAGAACCCACTGTCCGCTCACTCTAGGTAACAGCACTGCAGCTGGACCTAATACAAGACCCACACGAGATCTGAAGCAACCTTCCTGCATCCCACCAGGTGGTAGATACTCAATGATGAAGACTGTTACTCTATCTCAGGCACTATTTTAAGTGCTTTTTAGATGTTAACTCATTTAACCCACACAGCCACCCTTTGAGGAGGGTATGGTTATTATCCTAGGTTCACACAACTCAAGCAGTCTTCCCCACTGCACTGTTAGACCTATAAAAGCAATGCCGAGCAACCTAAAAATCACCAGATATATAAGGGGTCAGCAGCTTAAATGAAGCAAACAAGTTAGGCAGTCAGAGGACATGGTCTTCACTGATAAGGGCTTAATGCAGTCAAAAAAAGGGTAGCATTCAAATAATTTACATCCTCAATGAGATTTGAAAGAATACTGTATCTCAGTAAAAGCCATTTTTTTTCAAAATGAAAGGATTCACTACATGTCAGGAAGCATTGTTTTTATAAAAGGGACACATATACATATTTTCCTGCAATTCTAAATATAAATATCATATACATTTTTGCAGGGGAAAAGTCAATCACACTGCCTCTCATTTCTTATCCAAAACACTGGGTGGTAAAAGACAATGAAAAAACCTTATTTTAAGCATTCTGAGGAAAATTTTAATGCTATTATCAATACTTGTGAAAAGTAGGCAAAACAAATTCCCGGGCCTCTAGGATCAAAAGTATATTGCTAATATTCCTAAAAAATATTTGTAGAAATGTAGTGTATATTATAATGTGGTAGGTACTATCCATTCCACCTATCAGCACATATTGCAGAAGTTGGAAAGTTAAATACTCTCTTTTGTTTTTACTGTCTCTAGATTCTTTTGCAGCTGTGATTCTGATTGATAATTAGATTCTGCCGAACAGAAACATTTGCATGTGCCTTGGACTTTAGAAGTGAGGTAAGGGAAATGTACTGATGCCTGGCTGGTTTCTTTTGGCAAGCAAAGTCATGGAGACAGAGATTTTCTACATTAGCGTTCCAGTGTGCAACGTCTTAGCTTTCGGGTACTGAGAGCCCATTGATGCATTGGGGATAGCATCTTCGTGCTTTCTCACTTTTCTGATCATGGGGAGGCGGTGGCTCTTTCTGATTGGTCAGTGCCCTGGACCCTTTCCCGGAAGTAGCCCTCCTGGAGAGCTTCTCCTCCAAGTCTTCCTGATACAGGCAAGAATCCATTCTCTGTGTTAAATCCTTCTCTGACACGGGAAGTCAACCACCCAAACAAAAAAATGAATGTGAAAGATAAAAGACATTTATAAAAACTGTGCTCAATAATGAAGTTGGTTAAACTTACTTTGAATTAATGGTAAAGAGCTGAGGGTAGTAAAGGATGCCAGACTGTGTCAACTGAGGCACCAATAACACAGCCTTCAGGGAAGGGATGTGTGAGATGAAGGCAGAAGAGTTTCTTTGGAGCGGGCCATTGCCAGGCTGGGAGTCTGTGGCACTGCCCCTTCATGGGGAGGAGTATTACCTTCTAATCCTAAACTCGGTAACATAGATGCTTTAAGGGGAAAGCACTTCACAATGTAATTTTTGAAGCTGGGGTTCACAGAGGACACCATCTGGCTCGTTTCTGGGAAAGTTAAAGGATCTGTTCTTTGAGGACTGACATACTATTGCTCTAGTCCAGGAGAATGCTAATACCCTTAAGGCTGGCCTGAACTTCTACAGTTCGGTGGGCAAGTGATATGTAAGCATTGCCCATGGATTGGACATGGCCAAGCAGGCAGAAATTTGGTTTCATTATGAGAATGGGGTAGTTATGCGTCCTGCTGATACGGCAACCTGGAGAGAGGAGAGCTCAGCAAAAACCAGCCTCCATGTATAATGCAGGATTCCCAGAGACTGTGGCAGCTGGCAGAGAAGCCACCTGGAATAGGGAGAGAGGCACCAATGGGAGGCAAGGAATCAAAGGAGAGCAAGGTGTGGCAGCAGAGGCCACGGAAGCACCTCCACAGTGAGTGGTGCCCACTGCAAAGGCCGAGAGCACAAAGCTAGCTCACAACAGGACCAGCTCAAGGAGCCATGGAGAAAGAATGGGAAACCTTGTCTGAAATCTCTCCTGCCTCCTATATAAAATGTAGGGGAAGCAGTCAGTCTCAAAGTTACTGTGAAAGGAACCAATTATTATTTACAAAAATGGAAAACTGAACGAACTCACATATGATAACTTTGTAAGATACAACATATGTTATATTGTATTTAAATGACAAACTTATTACTCTAATACATGGAAGAGTCTATGAAGATAGTAAGTAAAGGAGATAAAGGACAAGATACATACTTCAGGCATACCTCATGAAATAAAACAATGATAGGAACAAATGTCCCGGTTTCATAAGTAGTTTTTCTTTTATAGTGACGGTATTTCTGAACATTTTAGTTGTTCAGATGACCTTGGTCATATATCACACTAAAAACTTACTTATACCTAACAATTTGAAAGTGGTTTATGTAACTCACCAAACTATTTGATAAATGTCTTCAGATTTGCCTTGGCGTAATTTCAGTATCCAAGCACCTGGGTTTGCTTTTAATTGAAAATATCCCTGTTAAGAGGAGAAAAATATGATCATTATTATGACTAGAAACATCCAATTGTTTAAGAAAGATTACATATGAGTCATCCACGAAAGCATTTACTACCTGTGGAATGAATGAATTCTATAAATTAATTCCAAGAAAGGCTATTTTTACAATAACCTGTAAAAGCACATTCCGAAAGTATGATTTCCTTCATTTTTGTTTTATTTAATTGCCTATTCAAGGATTCAATTTTGTTTTCTGGAAGTTGTTCAGCAATACAGGATAAAACTTATTTCATCTTATTCTTAGGAAAACTTAGGGGATTTCACCTAAACATCTAATTAAATACCATCAATTCAGAACATAACAATACTTACGAGATTGGCCATCACTATTGTATCAACCACAACAGGTTTGTTTTTTGTGCCTAGCGTAAACTGCAGACCCTGGGGAGGCAGTTCTGTCACTGTATCGAAGCAGTGGCCTTCAAGTAGGAGATGTTCCAGTTCATATTCTGCTGTAACAGTTCTTTCAATCTGTGGAGGACATATGTCATTGCTTTGGCATTAGTAATTTTCATAATGCAAACTTGAAATAAATAAATGTCATTATTATAGTATTAGCCACAGTATTTTGGGAGGCAACTTCAAGTCTTTCTTTCACAAGAGTAAACTTAGCTGAATCAATTTCTTGAAGACCAAAGCTCCCGATGAGTTATTCCCTTTTCCATGACATCGGCTCCACTCTCACCCTACCACATGTTCACCAGTATCACAGGCAGGAAAGATGTGGTCAAGCTGAGGCACTCCAAGACCTCCTCCAGACAGATTTCCACGGGGAACCCCTCCAGAACCTGCTTCATTTGCTGTTGCCCCAGAGCTCCCACCTCAGACCTAGCAAGAAAGCCAACTTATCATCTATCACCTTTCTTGTATTAAAAAAATCAATGTTTAATTGTTTTTTACTTAAAATAACATATACTTATTAAAACGCATTTAGCAAATTAAGAAAACTGGAAAAGAGAATTAGAAACCACCTACAGACAAAACATTCATGTGCACTGAAATCAATTCACTGATTTCTATTTCTTTTTCTTTTTTTCCCTAAGAAGTGTAACCTGCTTTTCCATTAAATACTGTTAGTTTCCTAAGAGCAAGGCCCTGTCTCTATAAACATTCTTTTAAATGACTGAACATTCCACTGTTCCCATATTTATCTCTATTGCAAATTTTATAACAAATGTTTTAGGGCTAAAGCTTTTTTTGTACTTAATATGAAAAACAAACAAACATGAAAATAAACCAAATGACAAGTGATTTTTCTACATAGTTTGGTTACTTTGTTGAGCATATAAGACAGTGATGCTATATATAAATCTGTATCTCATTTTATTTTACTTTCTGACGTTTTGGACACTTTTGCTTAGTGTTTTAGGATACAGAGTATTTGAAAACACTTTCTGTTTCTTTCTCTGACTGTAATTACCACAGAAATAATTACAGTACTTGTCTACAGCATTTCTTTTTAAGTCCAGTTCTTTTAATTTTGCTGTTTTTAAGAACCAGAAATAAGTACCATGTTTGAAACCAGTATCTGTTTTGACTTTAGTTGGGTTCTGAAATTGTTATTGAATTATTCTATTCTAGTGATGGATGTCATATACTTCATTCACCTGTGTCCATAGCCCTTGCAGCACTCTGTCAGAATGAAAGATACACATGGGTGGTCTCAGAAGATGAGAACATTAAAAGTCTAGAAAGAAACTGTAGATCATCTGGTTTAACTTCTTCATTTTATAGACAAGGAATCTGTACCCCAAAGTGACTGTGAAGTTAAGCTTAACTATTATTAGGTATTAGGGCAGAGCCCAAATGCTTTCAGTTTGTGACTTACCAGGTATTAATGTGAAAATTATTCTTGTTCCATGTTTGTGCAGCAGACATCAATTCTATTGACTTATTCAAACCACACCACCAAAAATAGTCAATTAGTTTTTCAAAGAGCTCTTTCTCGTGAATATTTTAAGCTTTCCAAAAATTTAATAAAGATAATTTAAGTTAAATAAGTTCTATTATCAGAGTTTATTTTTAGCAAGAATATGAAAGCTTGTGGTCTTTTCTGATGTTTATATCTGCTTTATATTTTTATATATCTATTCTAAACATTAACTGTTGATATGGGACTTGAATTTATTACCTTTCAAATAACTTTGGGTGCATATTAATATTTCTAAATAGCAATGTTTATTGTATTACTCTATGACTGAACAGTTAAGAAGTTAGCTTCTTCCTTTAAAAAAATAAGTTTAACTATAAAACTTAACATTTGGGTTTTTAAATTATCTTTGGCAGTCAAATAGGAAATCTTTGATGATTACATTGGTAAAGAATATCCTGTCAATAAAAATGATGTGTACATTATTTATATTTCAGAAGTGGCTAATAGATTTTTGGGTGAATTCCTTTTAATAGCCACATTATATTTCCCTTTAGCAATCTTTTGTTTACTCACTTCCTCTTTACTGAGTAAACAATTGCTAAATTATGTCGGGTATTTTGATACACTTCAGATACAGGCTGTGATTAAACACAATTAGAGTCTTTGGCTGCAGTTCTAATAACAAGCTCTGAGCAGAATAATGCCTGAACTACACATAAAAGTAACTGTCTAACTTTTAAGCTTTCCTGTAAACCACTTTTGTCACCTTTAATTATGGCATTAACACAGGCTGTGCAATCAGCCCTGGGAACAAAGTCCTGCTAAGGGAGAAGCTTTCTAGATGGGGCTTTCAGGCGTTTACGCAATACTCGGGAGTTAGATGCAGCGAGGAGTACTTGCCCCGGCTCGGGTGTCATGACATTCCACATTATTAGTCTCTCATTATTATAATTCTAACTCTCTCATCATAATAATCTCTCATTAGTTCCATTTTTGTGAGGGTGCGCTTCTTTATCTATAGGTCCCTATTTTAGCAGATGTCTCTGTTATTTCATGTTCTTCTAGGATAGTTGCAGGTAATATTCTAAGTATGTACAGCAGTGAGAGAAGAGCCTCAGAGGTAGTTAACTTCTTACAGATGCTGGAAGTTATCATTTCCTTCTGTTTATTCATATAATCTATAAAGGTAGAGGCAGTTTCTCTTTATATTAGTCTTCCAAAATACACAGAGTTACTGTTCACTTAAATAGCTTCTAAAAAGATATGGCTGTGCTTGCCACTCACAACAAAAAATGCTTAGTTTCCATCAGTTGTTTAGTCGCTGCTGAAATTTTCTTTACCAGCAGACTCAACTGAAAATCTTTTCTAAGCTGCATTAATTCTCCTACCACAAACTTCTTTATTCTTTTGGTTAGAATTTTTAAAGTTTTCTTGTTGGTACAAACTGCATCCAAGAGATTCCTTTAAGGGATACTACTGATCATGAAGAAAGCAGGATGGACTGATTTTTTTACTTCTTGACAAGTTCATTTCTGCAATTCCCTTCACTGATACTATTATCTTGCTGTCTTCCCATTCTTTCCCTAGATTTGAAGGACTGATTGCAGATGATCGTTAGAACTAAGTTTTAGCTTCTCGGGTGGGGTATCAGCAAGTATGTTCTAAGGAAGACTCTCAGGATCCCACAGAATCTACTCATGAGTGGAGCAGAAGGAACTGCCTAGGAGGACAATCTTTAGACAGGAAGTGACACGTGAGAAGCATGAGAAAAAAGATGATGACCCATCTTCATCAAGTTACTAGAGGTAAAAGTTTATTTACCTCAAGGCAATGGCTACACTTGGAAGGAGCTGTCAGACTGAGCTGGGAGCAGGTCAGGGGGGCGATGGTGAGAAGAAGCAAGTACTTCCTCCCCAGTTTCTGGACAGCCATTCTTGGGGTAAACTCCCCTAAAAAGCTTCTGGTTTCTGTGGCTTCTGAACCCCTTCCTCATTTGGAATAGAGTGCTCTGAAAGACTCAGTGTATTGTCAATAGTCTTCTCCCCTTTTCTGTGCTGTGGCTGAATGACGAAGGTGGGCCGGAGGGGTCTGGCCGTCTCCTGGACCAGGGTGACGCCGGCGCCGAGGGGAAGCTACGCGTGCAGCCTGCGGGCTATGAGCAGCTGCTTCCTGCCTTCTGCCCTACTCTCGTCAGGACAGCTTTCCGTGGCTATCAGCCGTGGTGCAAAGAAGAGTTGCAGGTGAAACCACTTCTTTCTGAGTTAAAAAGCAAAACCTGGAAGGCATAATAGGTACTCCGTGGTGTTATCCTAAGTTGCCAGGCATCCGTCTCCTATTTCGTACATTATTCATCTCAGAGCAGCATTTGTGAACCAGGGGTCTGAAGCACTAGAAAAGGTGAGGGCATCAAGGGGCCCAGAAAACTAGAGAAACTGAATTTGGAAGTTAGGGAAACTCAGAAATCAAAGGGAAGACTGGATTCGGACTTGGAATCATAAGGAAAACAATTCTGGTAAGTAGCCACAGAGGAACCACTCTGGCTGGTAAGAGTTTATCCCATTTCTTTTTCCTCTATGTAACTTTACACGGGAACTTACATCCTCTAAGTGAATATTATCAAGGTCACAGTTGCTGTGTACTGTTCCAACCAACCAGCCTTCAGGAGTAATCATGTTGAGGGTCAGAAGGGGTGATTCGGGGATATCCATGAATTTTGCCATCGGTCCAATGTCATTGGCCACTAGCATCGGTTCTGGTTCCAGAACAAAATGGTAAAAGCTGTCAAGAGACCATAAATAAAAATACACACTGTGACCAAAATTGAGATTTCCCTTAAAATATTTTAAAACTGAAGATGGCTTAAAAATATAACCAGTCTTAAATTAAGAAGACCAAAAAAAACTGTACTTCAGAAGAGTTAATGCTTGTACGTGGTAGACAATTACTGTCTTGTACACTATTACCTATTATAAGACTGTATATTGTGTACCCCTGTTAATTGTTTCTGGATGAACACATTTAGTATCCCATTAAGATATATTGACTTGTGCAGGTTCTAGTAGTTTATGACCTGTATTCACTCACTGACCCTTCTTCAAACATAGTCAATTCTTCAGCTATTTTATTAGCTCTTAGCACCACTAGTAATATGAACAGAAATAATTATAATCAGAAAGCAAGTAAAATTCAAGCTGAAATTCTGGTGCCAATTTTAAAAGATCTATTGAAAACAAATAGGATTGAGTTGAAAGGAACTGCTTATTAATAGAGCATTTAGCAATGCCTGCAGTTTTAATGTATTTTAGCCTTATCCTCCAATATCATGCATAATAACAATTACTTCTGTTATTAAGAATAGAGGCTTTCACTATTTTGAGACTGCAATTAGGCTGTCAGCTGTGCTGCAGTTCAGAATGCTTGGCAGGGGTTACGCAGTTCCAGGGTCCCGCAGGTCCCGCAGGGGCCCTTGATATGAGAGCTGTAGTCATCACTAACAGTTATTTGGCGACTGCCGAGGTTCCCTGACACAAGGGCATCTCCAGCATGTGATGTCAGAGAAAGACACAAAAGCAAGAGAGAGCGGATGCCAGTAGGACAAAAGCTACAGTCTTGTACAGCCTAACTGCAGAAGACATTCTATCACTTTGGCCATATTGTGTTCATTAGAAGCAAATCACAGGTGCAGCCCACACTCAAGGAGAACCTACACAGAGTGTAGAACCATGTCCAAAGCTTTCCACTGAAGTCAGGCTGAGTAAAAATAAGAGGGTAAATAGAGACACTGGAGAGAACACAGTCATGATAAAAATGTACAAGCACTTGGTACTGTCAAGTGCAGCAGAGATGCTATTAAGTAACAAGTACCCCATGGATGTTGCTTTAGGGACTTAGTGAGAACATTTCAGCAGCAAAGAGGAAGTTAAAGCCAATTGGCAATGGGAGGTACAGTGAATGAGAGATGAAGAGGGGGTATGGCCAGTCTTTGAAGAAGCCCAGACGAGAGAGGAGAAGAGGTTCAGGAAGGACAGGAAGTTAAGGGAAATCAGAACCCCTACAGTTCATAGAGGACAGGAAGTTAAGGGAGCAATTGCGTTTTCTTTTTAAACTGAATCATTCTTAAGACTGAAAAGCTAGTTGAGAGGTTAAAGGTTCTGAACAAAGCGACTATGTGATAAAGCAAGGATCCAGAGCAAGTGGGAAAGCCCGGGATCGAACAGAAAAGGGAGTACCAACCGAGAGGAGAGAGCACACTCTTCCCTACTACACAGGAAGGCTGGGAGGGGCAGGAGGGCAGGTGGCGGGGGCCCGTAACTGCTCCCACCTCTGGGAAGGATGAGACTGGGTTCTAAAGGGTGAGGGCTGGGTGTGACATGCAGCTAGTCTGCTTGATATATATGTTACTGAGTAAATAGCATTCTGTTGAACTCTTAGCTTAAAAAGTTTAGTTCACCTTAGCAAGGTCAAGTTTTTTACCTAACAGATTGTGCTTGCTTATATTCAGTATTTCTACTCTTTATTATATACCCCAAAGCTTTATAGAGATACTATGAAGAAGAATAAAGTGAATAAAAATTATGTATTCATGTAACTAACAGACCTCTCAATTAGTGGCTAAAATAAGATGGAAGCTTTTATTCCATTTAGAAAGACATGGTAAAATCTGAAATACAAAAGACAGATGGGAAGAATGAAATTGAATGAGATAAGAGGATATGAGTCCAGGAATGGAACAAATACACTATAAGTTTTCATTTAAATGTTCCACATTTTCCTATTTCTGCTTTCCAGACATTAAAAATACTTACATTGTTTAATATATCTGTTCAAGGCAATAACCTATAGTATGCTTATCAATTACAACACACACAATTCAATAGGTAAATAAGGGATTAGCTGAATGCACTCTTCTGTCTCACTTGTTTGCATACACATTTTATTTAGAATTAAGTAATTAAATTATACAGAGAAAAGCACATTAATAAGCCTTCTTTCTGCCCCATGAGACCAGAAGGATACTATATATGCCTATCAGTAAGAGCAGCTTAAAATGATAGTGATTTTGATTCAGAAAGAAAAGGAAGGGTATATTTTTGCCCCCACTTAAGATACAATGTTATTTCAGCAGAATCAATGAGGAATATTTGCATATAATGTAACATTTTCTACATCACTGAAAGATTGTTCTAAACAAATTACATGTCGATGCTCCCAAATAATAAATGGGATGACACTGATAAAAACTATTTTGATAATTCAGTACTTAAGTATTAAAAGTATAGCTAAACAAAAATAGTTTAATTCAACCTTATTTACTATTTGTATATTTCTAAATAGATATTCCTGAGTTACATTTTCAAAATACCCACAGATAAACATAAATCTATGTAAATTCTCCAATTAGATTAGATCAATTTTACTAGGTAGGTAAATTTTACTAGCTAGGTTATTTTAATTTGATATCAGTTAAGGTTGATAAACTATGTTTGATCTTCTGATTTCAGTTAGGTACCTCATGAAGAAAAAATACAGGTAATTATGGTCCTTTTTTCAATTTAGCATTTGCAAATGTTTCAAAATGAAATTATGTTTCCTTAGACTCACCTTTTTAAAGGGGCTTCAGAAAGCTTACCCCTACAGTTCATGAACAACTTTATCTTCATGTTGATAATCTTGCCAAGTACCTATTAGGAAAAAATTCCATATTTGATATCAAGTCATATTAATATTTAACATTATTAAGCATTTACTATGTACCAGGCATTGAATTAACACTTTATATTCATTATCTCATCTGATCCTCACACCATACTTCTGAGTAGCTACGATTGGAGTTGACACAGAGAAATGGAGTAATTTGCCCAAAATCAACAGTAAATCATGGCAGAAGATTAGAATCCAAATGGCTGTTGGATTTTGTTGCCCAAGGGTTATACTGCCTTCCTTTTGCCTAACATGACTTTCTTTCATGGTATCTAAATTCCCTGTAGTACTAAAGAACAAGTCAAATGATCATTAGACCACTGACATGCAAATATAAAATGGTGACCTCATAACAATGGCGAGGGCGTCTGGATCCTTTTGGAATTTACCTACGTTGTAAGAGATGTAGGAGGTTCTTGGCGACGTACAGATGAAACACTCTACTTTCTTTTCATTTCTCTGGGGCATAAGAAGCAGGAGAATTACTAATTTTGATAATCCCCACCTCTGTACAGGCAACAAGTTAGTGAAGCTTTCAAAGATAGTAGAAAAGAAAGGACCTGAGTAAAGGGAGAAGGAAAAAACATACAAGGGACCTTTAGAAGGGATGCAGGCTTGAGGAGGAATTAGCACATACAGACTGAGGATTTAAGAGTTTTGAGCTTCAATTCCCTTTCAATCACTCCTCATATTTGCTAAAATGAAGGTCACGGAGCCACTGTTTTTCCCAAGTGTGAAATTGAGACACTATCCATTCCTTCTAATAAATTAACTTATGCTGCACAGTATACACTTATAGCACAAATATTCTTTATGGCAAGAAATAACAAATTATGTGAAGTGCTGAGTTGGTCAGAAATGAAGTGTGTTATTATTACCAATGATGTAAAGTGGAGCCCAACTTCATATTTTATATTTCTGTATAATCGCATATTTTTAAATCTAAATTCTACCTTTACATAAAGATGTCAAGGGTAAGCAATTTTTTTCTGAACAACAACTCTCCCTAGGAATAGGTTTGTGTACTAAAATGCATCCTACTAGCTCCACTCCTTGTAGATGTGATTACTGATTGCTGTTTTCTAAAAAATAATCTGAATAATATGTCTCAAGAAACTCAAATTTGAAGATATAAAATGCTAAAAAAGAGAATGGGGCGAGTAAATCAACTATGGAATTAAATTTTCCCTAGTTATACACTGAATAGGTGGAGTGGCTGAAGCTCTCAAATTATCTGTCCACATTAATAAATACATTTATAACAGGTATCTAAAAATTCCTTTTCCAATGTGATTGTAGGGCAAACTAATTTCTGAGATAAATTGCGTTTTGAAATTCTGATAGAATATACACTAGTAAAACACAGCTTGATTGATCACTTACATCTTTCACCAGACTTAATATCTAATTACTTTTGCCTGCTTCCAAAAGTGAAGGCAACTGTAAAAGACAAATAGTTTCCACTTCTGAGAATTATTTCTAGCATCTTAAAAAAAAATTGAGCAATTTCAAATAAAAATGTCCTAAATTCTGAGTATCACTACACCAATGTACAGATTCAAATTTAACTACTGAAAGCTGCACCTCAATTTGAATGTTAAAATTTTTCAGTGCAATGATAAGCCACAAAATGTCCTGTCAGAGTTTGTGAGCTGCCTCTGAATATTCATTCTCCCTCCATTTCTTAGGGAAATTTTTTTCAGGTTTATGCAGTTTCCAGCCTCCCGTGTGGATAGAATGTGCTCGTTGTCCCCTTCCTGCTGGCAGAAATACCGAGACGATGGCAGGAGCTTGACCAGTGATCTCAGACCATTAGGCAGAAACTGCTTCACGAGGACGGCCGGACAGCCAGACGGAAGGTGCCCGAGGCCCTTACGCCGTGGAACTGCCTTAGTGACTCCAGACAGCTTAGAGTTGAACTGTGTGATGACAGAAAAACCTTTGGTCTTGAAGGTCCTGTTTCTTTGGCATTTGTTACAGTGGCCAAACATACTGACTGTAAACTCCGTGTTTTCTCTTCCCTTGGCTTCACCTGTTTAGCTAATATTGCTTACCATACTTTATTCAACTAATTAAGCTCAGGCATCAGTTTCTATAGAAACCAGTCTTCACACCCAAAGGCTGGCTGGAGACAGGAAGACGCCCCTATCACTTAGCTGGGGCTGCCGTAACAAAATGCCACAGACTGGGTGACTTAAGCCACAGAATTTTATTTTAGATCAAGGTGCTGCCAGACTCAGTTCCTGGTGAGGATTCACCTGCAGCTTGCAGGCAGCCAAGTCATGGTGTGCCCACATGCCCCATTCTGTGTGAGTGTGAGGAGAAAAAGAGAAATTTCTCTGTCTTTCCTCTTCTTATAAAACAATAAATCCTATTGGATTAGGGCCTGACCCTGAAGACCCCATCTAATCTTAATCACCTCCAAAAGGCCTTCTTTCCAACTACAGTCACACTGGGAGTCAGGGCTTCAGTCTGTGAACTGTGGGGGAGGAGAAGACAACAGTGCATACACCTGACCTCGGTACTCCTGGGCACCCTGTGCCCAGCCCTGCCACTTCACTTTCTACACTGAAATGTGACACGTCACTTAAAATGTTGCATAGAATAAAGAAATACTTGATTATATTTGAAAAGACTCAAAAAAATTATAAATTTCAAAATAAAAGCAATATTGTGATATGATGAACACACATGAAATATGTAACAAACCATTATATTGTCTTACAATCAACAGCTGGGTCATCTTCTGTGCTTCCCTTGTTAGTGGATCAACGATAGCAATGACATCAAAGAACATATCATTCTCGGGAGGGTTTATCTTTACAATGCTGGGAAAATAGAAAATATGATGTAAGATGGTTAAGTTTATTCAGCTGCCTAATTAATCTTAATCTTAGCCATACACATTCCCATAAATTGCCTTCTTTCTTACTGGATTAAAAAGATCCTGGCTATTTCACTGAAAAAAAAAAGGAAATTTAAAAGTCTAATTGTGTTCAATAAATTACAAAACTGGCAACAATTAGGAAAAGTGAAAGATTTTATGAGTTTTTCAAACTCTTCAAAGAACAATACTATTATAGTGAAAACTGATAATTTTAAGCCCCCCAGATTCTCACAGGTTATACAGTGTAAAAAATAAAACCAAGAAGCTTTTGTATTAATTAAATGTATTCTCTCAGATTTGAGATTGATATAATTAACTGTTCAGTACTTACATTAAATTCAGTATTAAAAAAAACAACATAATATAATAGAAAAGTTAGGAAAAAGCACCCAAATTTATTGACTTAATTCTGATCCATCAGCCTTCTCCTTCCTTCCTCCCTTGTTCTCTCATTTTTGTCTTTCATTGATCTAAGTTCTAAGTTAGAAGATGTACTAATTTTTAAAGGAAAATGTTGGGAAAACTGTTAAAAGCAATGAAAATGCCAGTGGAAGATATCAATTCTATCTTTAATATAATTAGAAGTTAAAAGTATGTATTTGATTAAAAGTACAGAATATTCCAACTGAATTACTGTTTTAACATTAATATGTCATTTTTTTGAGATGAATAAATTAAGTATTTTACATATTATAAAGGCAAAAAGATCACCAAATCAAAACATGCACCTGAAAAATTACAGAGATACTAGTTCTCTTTGGTACAGAAAGACTAAATATCTGGACTTTTTGCAGTGAAAGGATGAATTTCTCAGCAATTAAATAAAAGCTAATATAAAGTTCACTTTAAATATGGGCTGACACAGAGAAATTAAAGATATTTTATTTTATATGCAGTTGATATGATTCAATTGTATTAAAATAGGAGTGGCAGAATCAGAGAACAGATCCTGCTGGAGAATTACTATTAGAAATATGGGCCCCTGTTTACTGCTACTCTAAGTTCTTCCCCTCAGACTGCTGCCAATTCTGTGAGGCTGGATGCATCAGAAGTCCCATCATCTATTACATGTGTGCTGGTGTAGATCTGGGACAATTTCTGGGCAGAATCTTGAGCCTGACAGTAGGTATTACATCAAGTCATCTGAGAACAAAAGCTCAACGGCCCTTAGGCACAATGGACAGAAAATGTGAACACTGCTCAAACCACCTTTTTAAGGCAATGGATTTGTACTCAATTGCCAGCAACTACTGCTATACTTCCTGCCATTGGCCAGGAAGAGCAATGTGGAGCACTGACAGTCAAGAATTACTAAAAACTCAACTCCGAGAAAAAATGGCCAAAAACAGCCTGAGGTGTACGCAGTTTATCACATACAGACACACTGAACACATTTCACAGACCGCTGCCTTCTCAGCCAATACTGAATACATTCCATGCAGAACTGTTTTACTGATTTGATCTTGTTATGATGCTATCAATTCATGTATAAAAACTGGTCAAGTCATCTATTTTAAGGATGTTGAATGAAGATGCTGTTCATTACATAGTATTCTCTTTGTGAAATTCCCCAGAGAAATTTCTGCATCCTCCCTTTTCTAAGAATATCACGTCACCTGAGCAATTACTTGCTTTCATTCAAGAACTCTCTGAACCATACAAACTGGGAAATCTTAGAGTTCAGTTTGTAAAGTCGCAGGGCAAGCCTCGGTCTGCAAGACCTTCAAGACCTTCAGCACCACAACACTGGCAGCCGCCACTGCAAGTTCCTGAGATAATAGGGTGACAGGTTAGGGCTGTTATTTTTGCTTTTGGCAATGTTGGAACATTATCAAATCCACATATTCTGGAGAGAAGGCAATACAAAAAAATCAAAAGATTCTTCAGGGCTGAGAAAAATATAATTGTGCTTTTCATTTTTCACTTTCTTCTAGATTTCAATTTACCCCCATCCTTTTCTTCCTACTTTTGCAAACCATCTAAGTTACCTTGTAAATTTAAATACTTATAAGGCAATTGAAATTTTAGTAGGAGTAATTAAGATCAAATATATTAATACAGAAATATCAGATTTATAATAACTGTTTTAACCATTTCTGAAGTATTATAAAATGGCTCCATACAGACATAGAAGCAGAGTGCCATGCATAATGCTGCATAAAAATATATATATTATATATCACTAAAAAGTATAAGTGAATTAATTTTTCAATGTGATTACCGAAGTATATATTCTCCTGAAATAATATATAACTATAGAAATGATATTGAAAATGTATAAATTAAAATGAAAAGTGACAAGAAGAAGTTTTTGCTAGCATACTGTGTTACCCTAATATTAATTTCCAAAGGTTCACCAACATTTTTCAAAATTAAGTGTGTGACTTTATGCAGAAATTCATATATAAAGTTGACCTTGTGCCTACAAAATACTACAGTTTTCCTTGACAGGAAAAAATTAGAAGCAAGCTTTTTGTTAGCCTAAGGGTGGTATTTCCAGAGAGAGTTACTAAAGGTGATAATTTTAAGACACTTGAGGGAGCTCTGGGATATTTGGTAGTAGTATTAAAAAAAAGTCACATAGCTACTGTTAAAAATAATGAAGGTAGACAAAGCAAGCAGAAACAACAATAAACTTATAAAAGATGAGCTGTTTCATACATTTAATATGGGAGTAAATAATTCCAAACATAACAAAATTCCTAAGTATAATTTAAAGGAACAGGATTATGACTAATATTTATAATGATAGTTTCGAACAATTTCTGTTAAATCATTTCAGCACATGACATTTAAGAAATCAAAAAATTTGTGAAAAGAATTCTATTAGATGTGTTTAAAACAGTTAAAATTCACAGTATTGAATCTTAAGTTATCTGAAAAAAATAAACTTCATTCCCAATATTACCAGATAATTTCTATTTGTAATTTCTTGAAAATAATACATGTGTTGAGGCATCTCAAAAGATAGACTTCTACAGCTAAACCATTTGTAAGCTTCTACTAGTAAACATAAGTAATCTAAGATTGCATCTACCATAAAATCAAAAAACTTACAAGGCAGTATCAGCCATTTTATGTTTGTATTAAAGTAATTTATCTCAATTTAGATTTATAGAAGTGATTAGAAAAAGATCCTATAATAAAGTATAATAAAGCATGACTATAGTTTGGTTATGTAATTCCTAACTGATTTTTTCCCAATTCCAACTGGTCCTCAATTAAAAACAAGAACAAAGAAGTTCCCTTTCTGTGGACACAGGTAATTCTATATATTCAGATAGAACCTGATGAATTTTATTTCAAATCTCTTGGAGGAACAATTGTATTACATAGTGAAATTATAAACTAGTTTAATATTCTAAAAGAGTATTTCTCTGATGGCTAATTTCAGAAACCTAATTTTTATGAGATACATTTTTAACAAAGTATTCCATGCGTGTTCCACAGATGTTACCCGACTGCTGAATTAGCCATTAATGAAATTTTGTCTTCTTTTAACTGCATCACACCTCACAACTGTTAATATGTCGTTGCGCACTGGAAACACCTCCCCCTGCAAGGATGCAGTGTTCTCTAAACTTACATGACCAGGGAACAGTTTTTCCCTCAGAATATATCTGTCAACAGCTCAGAGTAGGGACATGCTGTTGTATATGTCTACATTTTTTATCAGAATTCTGTAGGAGCTGAGTCTTTTATACATTGAGAATATAAAGTTATTATTTATAATGATTACACCAAAATACTGCAAAAATTCAAACTGACCTTGGGCATGAAATGAATATAACAAATCATACCAGATATAACTTGCATGAAGCTTCATATTCTATTATTTACTAGAATATATACTTAACTGGAATTTCTTTGCCTAATCTTGTCATATATCTTTATTCTCTAGCAAAGAACTTTTAATTGCACTTTAAATTTTGCTATATTATGAATACAAATGGAAACTATAACTGAGCTTAGGATGCAATTACAGACAAAACACAGACACTGTTATATTCTTACCTGTGATTCTCTTTAAGAAACGTGACATCATGCCGAGATTTGTGCTGAGGCAAAGAGGAAATAAGGGCATCAACTTTCATAATAAGGCCACTCATGCTAGGTAAGAAAGACAAACAATGTGTGAGTTTTTTGGGAAGAGGAGGGTCCATATTTCATGTCATAATTAATGCCTTAAGAAAAGGGAATTTAATTGAGAATGTCTCCAGTAGATAAATTTATGTAATTTTTCTTTTAAATTTGTCAGTAAAACTTGTCAGTCTAAAGACAACTGTTGCTTTTCAAAACATCCTACTTTTTCTTATCATTGATATGATCTTCAACACATAGAAGTAGTGTTCTCAACAGTGTCTATAAGAACATAAGCAATCATTCAGTTCAGGTCAATATTTCCTGAGTGTCTGAGCCCTGGGGCCCATATAGGAAAGAAAGGCAGGAAAAACAAAAGGTCAATAACAGGATAGCTACTTTCAAAGAATTTTAATATAGTTAAAAAGCCCAGATTCCTATAGTTACAAATTAGTTTGGTAACTAAGTAAGACAGCATAGAATAAATACCTAGATCAAACATAACCAAATTTGAAAATCCATGATAGAGAAAATATATTGTATGGTCAGTGATACATTGAGACAGAAGGTGTTGGCTAAACCTTAAGGTGGCTTCCTGAAAAGAAAAAAAGGGAGAAAAGAGAGGCACCACCACTTTATAAAAAATTTAGATTCAGAGTCATTAAGAGCCTTCTATCTACTATAATATATCATCTTTTACTGGACTGTAAGGTCCTGAAATGTAGCACTCTCTATTCTTTCTATTCATAATACCTACCTTTCACAAGGTGCTGCATTTAATGGCCACTTAAAAAACATGTATTCAGTGAATATATTAATCAAAACTGTAATCTCTACTCCTAAACTCTCTCCAAGGTATTTATTAGCCACACAATCTCCTCTAATATGTGAAATTGTAGGCAAATATAGTCAAATGTGCTCTCCATGGTTCAAGTAATATGTATGTATTGAACTATGTACTGAAAGGAGAGAGAGATGAGAAAAGGAAAATCTTTGAGGCCCCAAGCAATTTTTTCTAAGGTTCTCTGAATTTTCAGCTATCCCAGTCAATTTTTCTCTTTTTGAGAAGTACTCTGAACTAAGAAGGGGAAAGGGCACGAGAAACAGCACCTACTGCCTGGGAGCTGGGACGTCCCTCCGAACAGCAACCTGCAGGCACTCCACTAGGGAAATGGGTTTTATGTGCTCCTCGGAATAAGGGTTCCAAGGATTCAGTTTCTGGCATTCAGGGTTCTACCTTCCTGGTCACCTAACTCCTGAAAAGCATGGACATCAGGATGCACACCTTAGGGGCACATCTTTAACATGAATTTATTGTAATTACAACACAACTTGTTTGTGTGCATGCAACAACTTAAGACAATTAGGGGGGAAGCTGTTACATTTTAATGTTGCTGGCTTTTGCTGTCTCAGTAGTGGTTTGGTTTGAAATTTGGTTTGGCAGCTTTAAAATGGCTAAAGGAGCTTCTTGAACCTATAACTACTTATAGCTATAACTATAGTTTTTACCAAAGAAAGCTAAAAAAAATTAATTCTGAAATGTTAACATATTTATAAAATCTGACAGATAATTATGAATTATGTGCTTTTCAACATATACTAGACTTAGCTAATTTATTTGACTATGAAATTACAACTTTTTTCTTTTTAAAGTTTTCTTCCATTTTATTCCACTTGAAAATAACTGTGGCTACCACCACTTAACTGCAGCTAGGCTTTTACTTTACTACTCAGCAAACATTTATAATTTTTTATTAACATCATTTCCTGAATAAAGAATTTTTAAGATATATCATTTCCTAAATGATAGATTAAGGACATTCATTTCATCTGAATCAGAATTCTGTATTCAACACTAAGAATAAGAACTTTTAGTTCTGGCAAGATAACCATCCCCAAAGCCTAGCCTTAGGCTGTAAGATGCATGGGTACACTGAAAGAATAGAAAAAAATATAACAGGGAAACATTAATAAAAAAAATGCTGATGTGGCCTAAATATCAGACCCACAGATTTTAAGAAAAAATCATTATTAGGAAATCATTATATAATGATGAAAGGAATAATTCACTAGGAAGTAACATTTCTAAATCAGGGTGTACATAACAATATACAGCTCAAAATACACGTAAAACAAAAATTGACATTACAAGAATTAAATAATAAATCCACAGTCTGAATGGTGTTGAACAAATTTCTCTTAGTAACTGACAGATAAGGAAAAATTCGTATTTCAATGATTGGAAAAAAATATTATGTTCAATGAAATAGACCTATGTAAAATCTTTCACACGATTCGAGAAAATGCCTTTAAAAAATATCAACCATTTTGGAACAATGATAAAAATCAACCCTGTCTCACAAAATTTGGATAAATACCAAATAACTTGCTGTCCATAAACGATGTTCCCTGATAACAGTTCAAGATAAACTGGAAATTAGTTTTATACTGTGCCTTCAAAAATTTTTAAACATACTTCATTTCACCAAATTTTTACTGGGTACCTAACAACATTTAGGTACAATTCTATGCACAATAGATAAAAAACAATAAAATGGACAAAAAACTTGTCTTCATGAGACCAACACTCTAAATACTTCAAAACATTTTTAGAAATGAAAATTATTAAAAAGATCAAAACAGAAATGTGGAAACATTCAGCAATCAATCATATGAAGTATTTACAGATCAAAACTTACGTGATTCACATAAATAATATAATTTCAGGCCTATAATACAAGGGTATGTATGGAAAAAACTAGCTATTAGTGAGCTAAAATTCCAACCTTGAGAAGTTGATAAAAATAAGAATTGAAATTAAAAACAAACAAAAACAATTAAGAGCCTATCATTAAAAAACTAGTAAAGTAGATAATTTTAATTTCCTTGCAAAAGTAAGCAAACTAAAACAAGAGAGAGGCAGACATAAGGAGACCTGAAAACTGGAAGTTAAGGAACAAGGCTGTTGTAACTGACAAATGACACAAGAATCTAACATTAAACATGTTACAAAAAAATAAGCACCCAGCAATATAGAAACTTAATATTGTTCCTGTGATTTAGCAATAAACAATTTGAGCATGTGATTTAAAATAGACTATTTACAATATGAGCTAAAAGTATAAAGAACTAGGGCATAAATCTAAAAATGTATGTGTAAGACACCGTGGGAAAAAAAATGGAAGCTTCACTGAAAGACCTGAAAGGAATACTAAGCAAATGTGTCTATTTACCTTCCATCCTATTCTCAGATATATATTTATATGTAAACTATGTACCATATATGTCAATTATATGCCTATCTATTATTATATCATAAATATATATTTATAATATCTTATAAATATATATTGTATATACATTTATATAGCTACATATAAATAATGTATGTACATACATAATAGATAATTTCAATATTACACAAAGGTGGCAATTCTCTTTAATCTGTAAATTCACAGAAAATCCCATAAAAATCTAGGAGGGTTTTTTTAATAGAACTTGTGATGCTGGTCCTAATCATATTTATATGGAAAAGCAACTAGCAAAAACTAATCAAAACAATTTTGAAGAAGAGGCAAAATGGGGAATTTTCACTATCTGACATAAAAATTCATTATAGCTGTGGCAACTGGAGTGTGGGACTGGCATGAGGCAATATAAAACTTTTAGAAAAAGCTTTTAGAAGAAGAAAATAAAGGAGACTACTTTATGAACTCAGAGTAAACATAATTTCTAGACATCTCCCCCACCTCTTAGACACAAAGATCACAGATAAACAATGATGGAATAACCCTGATAATATTTTGACATTAAAATTTTAAAAAACCTTTGCATATGGCAATAATTACAATAAAAAGTAAAAAGCCAAGCCACAAACTGATTATACTTGTTGCACATATAATGGATAAAAATTAGTATATAGAATCATAGATTTACAAATAGTGATTTACAAATCACTAAAAGAAGAAAAATAACCCAACAGGTAACAAAGCAAAAGATATGCACAGGTATTTTTACAGAAAAGAAAACTTGAATGAAAACAATCAGATGAAAAGATACTCAACTGTACTGGAAGTCAAGGAAAGCAAATTACAACAAAGTACAATTTCACATCCATCAGGTAAGGAAAACTAACAAGTCAGACAACACCAAGTGTTGGTGAGGACTTGGGGAAATAGGAACTCTTATGCATTTCTGGTGGGAATGTTCACTGTTCCAACTATAAATGTTTAGGAATATTTGGTAAACACATACACCCTATAACCCAATAACAATACTCCCCTAATCTAGAGAGACTCATACATTGCACAAGGAGACATTTAAAGCACATTCATTATAGCATCTCTGTAATAGTAAAAAACTAAAGCCAAGTTAACTGTACCTCAGTAATGGATTAAGTAAACTGCAGTAATACTCATAAAATGAAATACTAAAAAGTAATTAAAATTAATCAACCAGCTCTATGTATATGAACTGGATAAAGCTCCTACAGAAGGAGACTACAAAATGGGCTGAGAGTATAAAAGTATCTTTCTAAAAAAGTGAAGGCATTTGACACATGAACACTGATAATGGGTACTTACAGACGAAGCAGAAGTACCAACACACCTATGGGAATCATGCACACGACATTTAGGAAAACGGTTGCCTCTTGGAGAGGGAGGAGTTTGGGATGGGTGGTTAAGAAACAGAACACAACAATACTAACATCTCATAGTTTGGTGATGGCGAGTAAATGGATATCTTTAATTATTTCTTTACATTCTCTATAGCTTTTATTACAGCTTTACTTGTGTAAGTATTTGAAATATTTTCTAATTAAAAAATTCAGATACAAAACCCCAAAATGAATTGCTCTATGATTTGAATACCTACTTCTTTGAGTTGATTTCCATTTTTTCAACAATGTCTTTAATTTGCTCTGCTAAATTAGCAAATGTTATCTTTTCCAACAAGTAAAAATCTTCTTCATTGAAATTTTCATCTAATGGGCCTAAGAACTTAAAACAAAAGGAGTTACGTTTATTATAGTATATTTTCTATAGACAGGTATTTTCTCATCATATAGATTTTAAAGCAAAAATTGATTACAGGTTAAACTGCAATTAAATCTACTGGGAAACAAAGAAGAGAAATACTTTCTCACTGTGCTATTACAGATAGTATTTGCATAAACACCAAAATCAAAGTGGCAAAATTAAAAAGCAGTGAATTGTTTCCATCTGAAAGTTTTACTTTGAAAAATAATGTTCTAAAAACCTACATCTTTTCATTCTAAAATAAATTATGAAAGCAGCTGTCTGTAAGTCATAAATCTTTTAATTTCAATTTTCTGTTCATCTATGAATTGTAGTCTACACTATGCACATGACTTAATACATAAGCAAGACATAAAAAAGGAAAAACCAAGAGACAAATCATATAATTACTTGATCACACCAATGAATCAGGTTGCATAAATGGTCTGGAGCACAGCAAGGTCATGGAGGCTAGCTTTACATCAATAACTACAGAGAGGGACACTGGCAAACTGTCACAGGCCTAATTTCTTAGGGTGGCTATCCCATTACCACCACCAACTCCACCACCATTCGCATTTTCAGGGGAAACAAGTATATGCAATCATCACAATTTATGAATACAATCCATCCTTGATGCAGGAGTTGAGCCTGAAATAGTCTTATGCACTGAACAATTATAATTAATGACAAACAACTAGAAAACATGTCAACCAGAGTAACTTTTTTTCTTGGCAAAAAAATTAGAATTAAATGGTTGGAGCAGATTTTCCCACTTCTGCTTCATTTCTTTCTGCAATTAGTATTTTCTAAAAACTAATGAAGTACAGTTCTTTCTCATTTGGTCCTATCATACATAGGTGATGTCAGTGGGGTGTTGGCACCCAGCTAAGTAAATATAAAACATGAGCTCTTAAAAATGCAAAAAATAGGTATTATAAAACTGAAAGTACACATATAAACACTTCATTGCCTTAAGATTTGATATCATTTCTATGGCAACATTGAAAGCACTTCCAATGCTGTATTTTTTGGGCTATGAATCAGAGAGGCCTGGAAAATAGCTGTATTTTATCTATACCACCTCTAGTGACTCAAACGGTTTTGTTAATAACTTAGAATAAGGAAATAAAATCTCAAATTATTTTCTTAAGGGATTAAGAGTGTCTATCTTCATTGATTAAGTTCAACAGAGAATCAGCTCTATTTTGCCTATGTAAGTACAGCGTCAAAGAGGTAGGAGAAACTCAGTTTTTCCTGTGCCTTAGTTCTTCTACTTGGGGTTGAGTATAATATTTGTGCAATAAAGTAACTTAAAAAGTATAAAATCAGATAGTGTTCAAGCTGGGAAAGAGAACATAAAACCCAAAGATCCTGTCATGGCACAATAAAACCTGTCTACTGTTTAAATCTTCTTTACAACATTTTGGAAATGTGATTTTTCAGTTATATAGAATAACGGCTGTAACAGAAATGCATTAGCTCCTTTGACAGATCATTAAAGTTTTAGAAACTCTGTTAGGAGTGGTCATCCACACGCTGAGCTAAAAAATCTCCCTCCACTCAGGAAGCTGGATCAACTGGCCTTGATTCTTTACTGATTCTCATAAAGTATAACACAAATTTTTTTATTTTTTTATTTTATTTTTTTATTTTGGTATCATTAATCTACAATTACATGAAGGACATTATGTTTACTAGGCTCCCCATTCCCCAAGTCCCCCCCACATACCCCTTCACAGTCACTGTCCATCAGCATAGTAAGATGCTGTAAAATCACTACTTGTCTTCTCTGTGCTGCACAGCCCTCCCCATGCCCC